GGGTGGCGATGGAGTGGCAGTTCTGCCAGACGGCAAGCAGAGATCTGCGTGCTGGCTCCATCGGTTGGTAGCCAGTGGGGCTTAGTCACGGGTGCCGGGAGCCCGCCCAAGGCCTGCCTGCCCCGGCCGCTGCCTCCCAGGACTCAGTAGGTGATGGTTCCAGTTGCTGTATAGCTGGCAGCTCTGCACATTGTCGCGTGGAACAGGCACGGGCAGCCCTCGACAGTGCTGGTTCCTTCCTTGCTTTGCAGGTGGGGAAACTGAGGCACGGGGAACAGACTCTGAGTTCAGCAGCCCCAGGGCCTGTCTGCCTTGCTCACTGCGTGTGGGTCCCTGGTACTTTGTGCCACGTGTGGTACGGTGTCATAGATGGTTCTCAGTCAGCTTTGTGGGGTCACTGGGGGGAGGGACGGATGGACAGACGGAGGGGGTGGGTGGGTGGATGGATGAGATGGTGGGTGTGGGGGGCGGTTCCATCTGAGCTGCAGTCTGCAGATGTGAATCCTGGGTCCTTCCCCCTGGGCTGTGCTCTTTGTCATGGCTGTTGCTATCCACTTGCCTAGGATGACATTGTATAAGTACAGCTTGACTGAAGTATGCTTTTTATACCCCAAGATTCAGTTGTTGTAAGTGTGCGTGTTGAGTTGTGCAGCCGTCACTGATGCCGGAGATGTGCCTGTGCTTGGTGGCAGTCGGATTCCTCTCGCCAGTCCCCAGCACCAAGCGGTGACTCTTGGACTGCCTGTCCCTGCAACCTTGCTTTTTCTTTTTTTCTTTTCTTTTTTTTTCCTTGGATTTATTTATTTTATTTGAAAGGCAGAGTTACGGAGAGAGACAGAGAGATCTAACATCCTCTGGTTCAGTCCCCAGATGGTCAATGGCCAGAGCTGGCTAGCTGAAAGCCAAGAACAGCTTCCATATCTCCCACTCAGTTCATCTTCCACTGCTTTCCCAGGCACATTATCAGGAAGATGGATCAGAAATGGAGCAGCCAGGACTCAAACCAGTGCCCATACGGGAAGCCAGTGCTGTAGGCGGCGGCTTTATCCGCTACGCCACAGTGCCAGCCCCAGCCTTGCCTGTGCTGGACGGTGCCATACATCTCTTGTGCCTGGCTTCTTTGCTGGGCGCGTGCTGGAACGGTCCGTCCAGCTGCTGTGTGTGTGTGGCTCAGTTCTCTGGGCTGTCAGATACTGTGCCTGTCTGACTGTATGTGGTCTTGTTTATCCGTCCGTCCCTGGGTGGGCATCAGGGCTGTTTCCAGTTGGCGGTTCTTACGGATGCTGCTGCTCTGTGCATTCATGTGCGTGGCTTCGTGTGGAGTACGCTTTGCTTTCTGTGGAAGATTTCTAGGAACGGGACAGCTGGGTCATGTGAGGAGTGCACACCTGACGTTGCAAGAAACTGTGCACCCATCTTCCAAAGTACCTGCAGCTGCTCGCCATCCCAGAATCCAGGCTGGTGGCTGCCAGTGACTCCATACCCTTGCAGGCATCCTAGCTCTTAAAACATGTGAGGCCGTTCCTGGTTTCATGGTCTCAAGACCTTTCTTAGTAACACCAGTCACATGTCCAGCCACAAGACAGTTCCCAGAGCTTGTCTACCCCCCCTCAAAGGAATCCAGTGGCCCATGGAGTCCACATGGAGCAAACCACTAGGCCACCCACCCCTCTGGCAGAGAGGACCCAGTGGGAGGATCCTACTGCAGCTGGAGGCTGGCTCCAGCGAGCCTGGAGTCGGGGTTCCGGAGGTGTCCTAGTCCCAGCCCCACCCGATTCATCACAGATGAGCCCGGCGGAGTTCCTGCGTGAGACTCCCTAACTTGTCCCCTGAGGAGGAGCAGCCAGGCCTTGTGTGCCTGAGCAGGCCTCCCCGGCCCCATGCTGAGTGCCCTGTGCCGGGGCTCGACGTGGCCCGCTCCGCAGCCCACATCCATGACCTCTCAGAGCCTCACGGGTTCATTCTTGACCCTCCCCCCGCCTTCTTCAGTGTCTCCTGACAGATCTCTCCCTCCCCTCCACCTGCTGCATTGGCCCTGACCAGTGTGATGGGAAGAAGGGGAGCCTCGGAGTCAGCTTAGAGCCACCCTCGACCCCAACTTGGGGCAAGTCATGTCGCTGTGTGGGTCGTGGAAGTTGCCGGGGTAGAGAGAGTCCTAACAGTCACCCAACGGCCTCACCCGAGGCCACGGGCTGCTGGCTGTGGACACCCGAGACTGCCCAAGCACATGGGTTGCTGGCTCTGGGATTTCTTACCGTGGACACAGGCAGCAGGAAGTTTCGGAGACTCAAGGGAATTGGTGGCAGGTGCCCAGTTCCCTTGTTCCTTGGGTGCGTCCTCTAAGACAGGGCCTGCACTGTCTCCGAGGGTGCCCGCAGGGCCATGCCCACATTGCTGGCAGGGGGTAAAGCTACCGCTTGGCCTCGCTGTCATGCTCCTCCCCTTCCCCGTCTCACTGCCCTGCTCTCCATCGTCGTCTCCTACAGTCAGGTCTCAGCTCTGTTCTTTGTCTTGGAGTCTGCAGTCAAGGCTGTTGAAGCAGTGACAGGGCCCCAGCTCGTAGAGTTATTGTGAGGATTGGATGAGACCCTGTTCATCCGAGCTTAGCACAGGGCCTGGCGTGGGGTGTGCTCATTAAACGTTACCCTGGTTACAGCCAGTGGCACCTTCTGACTTTGAATGTGGTGTCTGCGAGCCTGTTCTCGTGCATACCTCTGAAGCCAGGACTTGGGCACCCTGTGGAAAGTGGCAGTGCGGAGGGCCCCTGGGCACCATCAGGACTGGGTGCACAAGGGTGATAGGGACTCTTCACCTCTGTGTCTCCATCATGTCTCTGGACAGCAGGAGACGGGCTGGTTGCATTTTGCAAAGTGTAAGTGGGGCTTGGCCAGAATGGTGTTCACCACGTATTAATGGTAGCTATTTCTGGTTGTGGGATTCTTGAGGCCCTTTTAAAACCTCTCCTCTTCTTTGTGCTTCTCGGTGTGGTCTAAACTTCGTACAATGAAAGTGCATCATCTCCAGCAAAAGAACAAAGCCATTATCTTTTTGGAGGTAAATAACTCGCAGCTGATGCGAGAGGGCACAGACAGCTCGGTGCATGCTCCAGGCTAGTGTGTGCTGAGCGCAGACGGGGTGTGCAGCGCTGCGGTTTGCTTTGGACCGTCGGATGCGATGAGCTTTTTTGTGATCATTTCATGGTCGTTGAAAAAGTAAGCAATTCCCTGGGTCCAGACTGAAACCACAGACGCCAGGGCTCAAAGGAGCCTTTCCCTCCTGGAGGGCTGAGTGCTCACAGCAGGAAGTGTCCCGGCAGGGCCTCGGTGTTGTGCTGGGACACGGGCGTGCAGTCCGGGCAGCACTGGCCGCCTGCTCCCAGCACTGGGCAGAGAGGGGCTTCAGTTATGAGGACCAGGCTAGGGGCTGGTTCGAATTTCAGAGTAGCTTCAGTGCCCTGTGTGCTTTGTGCCGCTAAAGTAACCAGGAGTTGAACCCGTGCTCATTGTCAACATCGTGCGTGGTACATGTCCTCATTTCCTGCACACCCACCTGGACGGGACCTGCTGGTCCTTAAGGATCTAAGATGACCGAGCAGTGACTGTGTCCGGTTTTCCCCTTCCTCCTGCTGGATACAAACTGCTGCCTGCACTTCCCAGCTAGCTTCTTAGTCCCTGATGTAGAACGCGGGGGAGTGGGCAAAACACGGCCAGCCCTCACAGGGCCACACAGGCAGGGAGGGAGATGAACCAGCGAGAGGGCGAGACCATGGGGAAGACCTGGAGAGGCGAGAGGGGACATTGGAGACTGCCTGCAGTGCGAGTTCACGTGGGCAGGCAGGGGTGACAGCTGCGGAAGTAGCCATAAGAAGCCCCAGAAAAGCATGGGGAGTTAGAGGTGGAGGGAAGGGAGACGGGGGACCAGTTGCAATGCTGTGGGTTGTGCATTTCATCCTGTGCTGAGTTTTTCTAAAGAGACCAGTAAAGTGCCAGGGTTCTCTGTCTGTTGGTGGGGGCCGCTCTGTCTGGGCTCTCTGTTCAGAGCTTGGCCATGTGGTGCAGGGTGGGAACTGTTTCACACAGAAATCGGCAGTGAGGCCTCATGGTGCCCCAGGTACAGAAAGGGAGGGTGGGGCCCAATGGGTGGGATACTTGGTAGGACGAGCCAACTCTGACCCCGGCGCCCACCAGCGGTGCCACCCCAGTGCCTCTCGGCACCCAGCAGGGCACCCTGCCCCCCTCCTGCCTCCTCCCTCATCCAGACTTCAGCTCAGCGATTGTAAGATGTCACTCCAGCTGAAGGCTGGCACTGTGTCACCAAAATCAGGCTTTCCCTAAGGAGCAGAGCGGTTAATGAAGGAGTGCATCCAGCTAGAGAGAGCAGCTGCCGAGCGGGAGCCGGGAGGGAGCGTGGTTTCCATGATGTCAGAGAGGCGGACCTCAGTGGAGGGAGGCAGCAGCCCCTGCCTGTCCGCTGTCTGGCTTTCAGTGCGGCACCCAGCGAAGGGGAGGAGGCGCCTGTCTTCCCCGCCAGGTAGATGCTGAGACCGCCGTGGCTTTCCCAGGGGCCATCGCAGGCTGGGTTCCCAGCCCACTCCTGCCTGTCGCGTTGCTCAGCTGAACACCACAGTCCCAGGGACCTGCTGGGCTCAGCCTGTGCAGACACACAGCCTCTTATGGGCCGTGAGCAGGTGACGCTTTCCTCTCGGGGAGGGCGCTTGACAGAAGACACTTTGGGAAGAGAAGTCTCAGTTCTTTCAAGTCCCTGGAAGCTGTGCCAAGTTCCTCTGCCTGTGTGCGCCGGCCTGGCTGTCATACCGGTGCCTGGTGGCTCTGGACAGTGCTCCGGCTCGCCTCGGCGTCGGTTCCCCAGCCGGGGGAGGGGTCCATGTGGCCAGTTCCTCGGGCCCCTGTGCACCCTACCTCGTCTGGCTCTGATCATCGGGGCTCCTGCTCCTGTGTTCTCCGTGGTGTGATCGAGCCTGTCTTCTTTGTCTCTCCCAGAAAAAGATTTACAAGTACAAGAAAGTCCTCAGCAACCCCAGCCGCTGGGAGGTTGTCTTGAAAGAGATCCGGACCCTGGTGGACATGGCCCTCACGTCCCCGCTGCAGGATGACTCCATCAACCAGGCGCCGCTGGAAATCGTCTCCAAACTGCTCTCAGAGGTGAGGCGCGCCCCGCCCCCCCATACCTGCGCTGTCCTCCGTGCGCGAAGTGCGGACCCCCGCCCAGGAGCCGTCACCAGGGGTGCTCTCGCTGCCGCTGGAGGAAGAGAGCAGTTCCCCGCCCAGCAGAGAGGGAGGCTCGCCTGAGGCTGCCCACGGAGCTGCCCAGTATCTTAGCAGGGATGGGGGATGGCAGGCACTGGTCTTGTGCCTGTGGATCCCAGCACTGCCTTTGGAACTGTCCAGTTCGTTCCCGAGAGCAGCACGCAGGGGCACGCCCCAGGTGGCCTCTCCTTCCTGCCCTGTGGTGGTTGGGGCAGGTGCCCCATCTGGACTCCTCCCAACTCCCCCCCTGCCCAGACAAGCCCAGCACTGGTCCACTTGAGCCCTGGGGGTCCAGGTGCCTGCCATCCTAAGCCACCAACAGATGACCTCCTCTCAGTCTCACAGGAGATTCCACAATACAGTGGGAACATCCAAGTTAACCAAAAAATAATCAGAAAAGAGAGCCACCATGTGCAGCCAGTGCCACTGAGCAGTACCCTGCTGGGCCTGCGCCGTCGGCTTTGCTGGGCCGCCCCACGCAGGAGTGTGTGCTGCGTGCCAGGCACCAGCCTGGGCACTGGCAGAAAGATTGCCCCCTGCCCTCCAGCAGGGAGACGGGCAGTAAACAGGAAGCTCCATCGGTGAGCCAGCCCGTGGTGGGTTCCAAGGCCAGAGGCGCCTCGGAAACATGCATATTTCTGTTTATTCTGTTCCAGACGCTATTCTGAGCGCTTTGCAAATATTAATGCTTCCCCCACATATTCCCAGGCCCGGCCTCTGGAGCCACGGGCATCGACGACTCCTGCTTTAAACTGGGCGTAGCTGCTAGAGGGTGCTTCTTCCTGCTCCCCTGAGAGAAGCCCCCAGTTCCTGGGTGGCTTCTGCATGCCCCCTTGCAGCTCCACATAAGCACCTGTTACTCAGAGCACTGTCCTCTCTCTCCAGGCCCAGGTTAGCCAGGAACTTGGCCTAGACCCTCCAAGGCTGCTGAATGGACAGGGTCCTACAGCTCCTAGGAGGAGCTGTGGCCAGAGGTGGAGAGTGATTGGCAGTAGTAGTCACAGGCAGAGGTGCACAGGCTGCGTTTTCCAAAGAGGAGAAACGGAGGCTGTGAGATGCACCATGGTCAAAACCTGGGAGTTGCAGAGCCAAGTGCCTGGCGTCCAGCCTCAGGCCTCAGATTCTCATCCAGAGAAGAGGGAGACCGGAGGTGCCAGGATCCACGCACGGCCATCTTCACGCCTGAGGAAGCAGGGGCCAGAGATGCCCAGGGACCTGTCTGGCTCCTGTGAGCGGGCTGCAGTGGGCTGGGAACTCCACCCTGGGGCTCCTACCTCTTTCGTTTGGAGACCATGTTGTCCACCCGCCAGGCTGGGCCACCACTAAACCATCACTAATCAGGACAGTGGCCAGGGCAGTAGATGGATCTCGAGGATCTTAAAGTCAGCTGACGCCAAACTCAAGGACGTGGAGCTAAAGACATTAAAAGGAAGCAAATGGAAGAAGCTCCCCTGTGCTGTGCACCTACTGTGTGCAGGCCAGGGCTCAGTGTTACTGCCCCCTTCTGCTGCTGAGAGCTGGCATGTGGCTGCCTCAGCTTTTTGCCTTTCCAAGCAGCAATCACTTGGATGAGCCCCCAGACCTGCAAAAAGTCCTCCCAGGAGCCTCACAGGCAAGTGTAATAATGTATGTAGTTTAATAGCTTGTCCAGGACCATTCAGATATGTGGTGGGCTGGGCCCCACACCCAGGCCTGCCCTGTTGTGAGGTGCACACAGATGTGACATAGATGTGACCTAAACCTGGATCAGGCCAGATGTCTGGCAGGTGGAGAGAGGAAACTGTCTAAGAGAGAGATTCCGAGGGATCAGACACCTGGCCCCGCCCTCTGCGCTCCTTGGCCTTGGCTGAACCCGGTTTTCATTTGCAAATCAGGGCTGAGCTACCACTGCCTGTTTTACAGGCTTGGGAATCAGATGCTCAAAAACGTAGGAGTTGTGTGGCCTTTGATAGACGCCACGTTCCTCCTTGTCACAGGAAAGGGTTGTGATCTGGGCCCCCACCCCGCCTTCCTCATACTCAGCCAGGCCTCCAGAGGCTGGAAAAGCGAGACGGCCTCCCAGAGTGCTGCCCGTGTTTGTTTGGAATGCCCAGAGCTGGAGCCCCTCCCCATGTCTTGCCTCACCTGGTTTCCAGGGCCATCTCCAGAGGGGCTCCAGACATGACAAGCGCCGGGCAGGTGGCAGGTTCTGGAAGCAGGGGAGGACCGGTCCTGAGAAAGCACACTGTATCCTCTGGCAGGGCAAGGCTGGCCGTGCCTGACCTCCAGGCCTTTGCAGAGCTGAGAGTACAGCGTGGGTCTTAGAGCGAGTTCTGAGCCTCCTCTCCAGTGCAGGAGCTGTGGGGAGCATGCTGCACCCCGGTGGGGGAAGGGTTTTCCCTGCAGAAGGCTGCCCTGTGGCTGGGCGCCGGAGACTTCCTGGGAGAACACGTGGGTGGGGCGAGCATGGGCTGGTCCCTGCAGAGCTGCACACGGCAGCCTGAGGTACGGCGCTGCTCCCAGGTGCAAGTGCACAGCTGGGTGGGCGGAGACAAAGGCTTTGGACTCAGGATGGACAGGTGTTCAGACTCCATTGTGTCACTCTTACCCATGTACCAGGTGAGCGACTGAGTCCTGTGTGTCTCGGGTCACCTGTCAGCCAGTGGGGCGGTAGGGCTCGGGTGTGAGACAACAGAACCTTAGTCGGTGCCAGAGTCACAAGGAAAAGCCGAAGTCAGCTTTCCTCGTCCCTGGTCCAGGTGTTCGCATTCCACCAGTGTCCGCGAAAGGGGCGGGTGTTAGAGTCCAAGAAGCATTTTGCACGTGACCCTTGGTGGCGTGGGTCAGTCCTCATTCAGATCTTAAATTGTCCAGACACTGGCCCTGGGGCTGACCCCACCCATACCCTTCGGGGAGCCACTTGTGGCTCACGAGCTGTTCTCTCTCTCTCTCTCTCTCTCTTTTATTTATTTGTTTGAAAGAGTTACAGAGAGACAGAAAGAGAGATAGATCTTCCATCTACTACTTCACTCCCCAAATGGCCACAACAGCCAGGGCTAGTCCAGGCTGAAGCAGGAGCCTGGAACTCTGTCCAGGTTTTCTGCATGGGTGGCAGGGACCCAAGCACTTGGGCCGTCTTCCGCTGCTTTCCAAGGTGCATTAGCAGGGAGCTGGATCAGAAGTGGAGCAGCCGGGACTCAAACTAGCACTCACATGGGATGCTGTCTCTGCAGACAGTGGCTTAACCCACTGCGCCACAACGCTGGCTTCTCACAAGCTTTTCTTTGGCCTTAGCTGATGTGACCACGTTAGCCACCTGTGCCTTCCGTGAACCTGCTGCAGTGCCGGCAGCCAAGGCTCTTTCTAGAAGAGTCAATCTTGCCAGTGCTGTTACAGTGAGCTGTCGCTGCACAAGCAGCAAGTGCGGCTCTGTTAGGAAGTGCAAGTTGCCACCAGTGAAAGCCTGTGTCTATCAAAACAGACATCAAAATACCAGAAACCAGCAGAAAAGAAAACAGTGCCGTTTTGAGTTTTCCCACCATCCCTTGTTTATCCATTTCCTCATTCACATAGCCACAGGATGGTGGGTAGCAGGGGCCAGTTGTTTCAGAAAATCCCAGACTGGAGGGAGAAGGAAGCATTGACTTCTCGGCCTGGTTTTGGATTTGTGAGCCAAGTAGTAGAATTTAAATTTAGCGGAAATGCTTTGCACCGGCTCATGGAATACCAGTGTTCCCTGGGGAACCTAGTTTGGGAGCCTCTGACATCATGTGCACACCGCTCCTAAAAGGCTCACCTGGTGTGGAGTCGAGGCAGCTTTGCTGTGACCAGGGCCCAACCCTGTCCCAGCCGCCTCATCCCAGGTCTCCTCACTCCCAGGTGGTGGAACAGGGACAAGGGCTGTGCTGACCACACTGGGTACCGTGGGCTGGAGACGACTGGATCATGGGAACCTTGGAAGCAAAGTGCTGCCCTTCTGAATTGTGTTTTCTTTGGTTTCCTCCTCCTTCTCCCTTGCCCCCTTTAGAACACAAATCTGACCACCCAGGAGCATGAAAACATCATTGTGGTAAGTGCCTGGTGCTCCCCCGCCCCTCCCTGCCCCTCCCTGGGGCCCCTCCCTGCCCCTCCCTGGGGCCACACCCTTCCCCAACGGGAGGCCCTTGAGGAAGCACAGGTGTAACCTACGGGCACTGGTGCTCGCTCAGTTCTGTCTTTTCCATCCGGCCACTGTTTGCTCTCTGCTTTTGCATGTTTCAGAGCCCGAACTGACCCCGGGGGTGGGGGTGGGTGGCAGGCTGCAGTTGCCCGTGTCTGAGGTCTGTGGCAAGTGGGTCTTCATCATCTTCCCTTCCTGGGTCTGCCACAGGAAGCTGGAGGCAGGGGACGGTCGAGACCATGTTGCGTGCACAGAGGCACAGGCAAACGGTCTCCCTTTTGCTCCAGGACTTGTCTGCTAATTAATGCACAGATAGAACCTGGGTTTACTTCCCCACGTTGCAGAACGTGAGCTGATGTTTGCTGAGAGTCGGCTGTGACGTCAGCATCTTCTGGGCAAAGCACCTTTCGGGGTGATTTGACAACTGGAACGCGCCTCGCTGGGGCGCCAGGCCCTGGGCAGCGTGTTGGACCCGGCAGGTGACCCCGACAGCTCTGGGTCTTCCCTCTGTTTGTCGGCAGGCAGACGTGATCCCCTCCGAGATAAGGTGATGAGCCTCAGCGCTCGGCAGGGGCAGTGCCGGCCGAGCTGGGCTCGGAAGGGCCAGTAGGTGTTTGCCAGGTGGCAGAATGGGGAGCAGGCATCCCGGGGAGACCCCGTCTGCACCTCAGCCTAGGTCCCACTCACTGCAGGGTCTCAGCGTGATGGGGAAGCCCTGGGACTTAAAGCTGCTCGTGGGTTCCGGTTCTGGGCTGACATCACTCCTGTTAGCCTTGATCTTGGCGAGTGACAGGAGGACTCGTCATTTTGTTTGAAATAGCCTGAAGTTGGCCGGGACCTAGGTCAGATCCCGTGCAGGGAGATTTCGCCCGGCCCAGCTCCCTGCCCAGCCCCTTCCGGTTTCCAGGTGGTGGCAGAGCCTCTGGGACATGGCTGTGGTTTGCGATTTTGGTTTTCACACTCATGGTTCTGCGTCGGCTTTTTCAGTTGACCATAGGTGTAGAAGGTTCTTCCCATCTCCTTGGGTGTGTCTGGTGCAGGCTTCTCACCCTAGGCGCTGGTGAGGCTGTCCTGTGCTTTCTCTGAGGTGTTGCGGTATGTGTGTCCTTGGCTCGCTGGGGGCCAGCAGCACCCCTCTGGGGCCGAGCAGTCTCCAGGCCACATAGTCCCTGCAGGCAAAGTCTCCCAGGCCGGAGCAGCACTGTTCAGTCCGTTCTTTCCACGTGGCTCCAGGTGCCCGTGTTTCGGCTGACTTGAGCAGGTCAAGCCTCAGCGCCCTCATGTGTGAAATGAATGTAGCAGTCTGCCTCTTGCGGGGTGGGGTTTGACGTGAGCTCGTGCCCCCAGCATGCCTGTCTGTGAGAGATTCCACCAAAACAAGTGAGCTCTTTTTATTACTTACCATTAAAAATTGTCCTCACTCTGTGAGCAAGGCGGGCTTGGTGATTTCATCTGTACACACGAGTAGTTGCCTCTTCACCTCCCCAGGAGCTGAAATGAGGCGAGAGCCATGAAGTCCCCGGGACAACCTTGACACCCACCGTGGGTGCCCATTTCATCCCACCCCTCTGTCTGGAGACTCATTCCCCTTTCAAAGGGGGTCCTGCCATGCAGGGATTAAAAGGGCTGCACCCTGGGCTCTATGCTTGCCTTAGATCCCCCCTCCCCCACACCTGGTCCCAGAGTCCAGTCTGGGTGGCGGAGCCAGCCCACCCAGGTAGTGCCCAGTAGCCAGGGAGGGGCTACCCCATCCCCCTGTCACTCCTGTGGCCTGCCCTCTTCCTGTGTTTACCGTGTCCACGCCAGGTTGCCTGGTAGCTCGGGGAGGCGGGCATGAGCCGCTTCACTGCACAGGCGGGGGAAGGGGAAGCAGAAGGCCCACGTGGGCCGGGGTGAGGCTCCGGCAGAGCCGCACAGCAGCCCGAGCCGGCTGCTTCCTGGGGGTTTTGCTTCTTCCTTCGCCCTGTTTCTCCTCAGCTGTAGTTGTGGCACTGCACAGCCACTCAGTGTCCTGGCCGTGCGGACAGCCAGAGCTCTGGAGCCACGCACGAGTCCCAGTCCTGGCTCTGCCACACTCTGACTGCGACCTTGAGTAGCTGAGCCCCTCTCTGGGGCCTCAGTTTCCCCTTTGGAGGGGAGGTGGGCATCGATGCCCACTCCCCACACATGGTGAGGATGACACCACATGGAGCCGTCAGCCCTGCGCAGAGCGCGACTGTGTGTGCACGCTGTTGCTGAGTCCCGTTTCCTACGTGGCTGTTGGGTTGTTGGTCCGTGTGGCCATGGGATGTGAGGATGGCAGGCTCACCCCTTGCGGGAGCCAGGAGCCCTGTGACTGGCATGGCTTGTGTTTGAACAGAGAATGGCCAAGTGTGACGTTAGAGGACCACCCCCAGCTCCTCCCCCATGCTGCCCACTTCCCAGGTTGGCCGTGTCCGGTCTGTGCCCGGCAGCCCAGTAGGTGCACCCCCCATGCACGTGGGGAGCAAGGGGGATTGGGGCGACTGAGCAACTGCGGGCTTCATTTTCTTTGATGTAAAATCTGTTTCGTGTTGGTTAAAATTGTAGCTGGCACCTGAGGCTGCCCTGTTGCACAGTGCAGCTCTGCAGGCAGCCTGGGTGCGGCTCTGGGGAGCAGTGCTCAGTGTACAAGGCTTCACTTTGCCTGGAGCTGTGCCCCATGCACCGCTGCACTGGCATCCCCTCTTCATGGTGTCCACCATGCCTTCACCCGGCTGGCCTAGAAAGGCCCGGAGAGGAGGGATCCAAGGAGCACTGGTCCTGCTCTCCCTTAGCATGCTGGGAAGGGCAGGAGACATTGTGGACGGTCACAGAGGGCAAGGGCGCTCCTGGCTCCTGGCCAGCAGAGGCCAGAGCTACTGCTCCATGTCCTGCAGGGCCTGGGACGGCCTCCATCACAAAGGCCCATCACATCCCCCTCACTGTGACCCTGCAGACCCTTTGCCAGGTGTGTGTGTGTGAGGCAGGGTTAGGAGAGATGAGGTGACTCGCTACCCTGGCCAGCCCAGGTGTGTGTGTGGTGGGGGCAGGGTTAGGAGAGATGAGGTGACTCGCTACCCTGGCCAGCCCAGGTGTGTGTGTGGTGGGGGCAGGGTTAGGAGAGATGAGGTGACTCGCTACCCTGGCCAGCCCACTCGTAGATGACAAGACCAGGATTTGCGCCAGGCCTCTGCCCGTCTACCTGTGCACATGTCCCTTGTTACCGTGGGGGGTGTGTCCCCTCCCTGCAGATACCAGAACTTGCAGTCGCTCAGGTCCTTGATAGAAAACGCTGTCGCGTTCGCACATGGCCGCCCTTTCAAGCGTCTCTAGGTTGCTCAGAATGCGGACTGCCGCGCACATCCTGGGTGAACGGCTGCTGACGGCGTGGCTGGGGGGCACAGCAAGGGGAAAGGTGTAGGACAGCTGCAGGCAGGGGTGCTTGTTGTATTTGCTCTGCGGGCACTTGACTCCCATGATACAGAACTCCCAGGTCTTCAGGGCCAGCTGTGCCCTTGCCCCCTGGGACGCTCCCTGTCAGCGCTGCTGATCTGAGGGCAGCTGGAGGGATGTCCCCACGTCCAGAGACCCCCGGAGTTAAATGCATTCTTGTGGGTGTCTGCCTTGTGGGCAGCCCGGAGCTTTTATCAACTCCACCGTGGACTCCTTGGCCTGCAGCAAGGCCGGGTTTTCCCGAGGGCCAGCCCTCCCTGACACAGCCCCAGCTCCCTTCCCTGGCCCTGCCGCGTGCTTCTTCTGACACTTGCTCCTTGTGTCTTAGGCGATCGCCCCGTTGCTGGAGAACAACCATCCACCGCCGGATCTCTGTGAATTCTTCTGCAAGGTACGCACTGCTGCAGTGGGGCCGTTCTCAGTGGCCTCTCTGTGCACACACAGCGGGAAACCCAGCCCCCACCACCCTAGATCAGGGTCCCAGGCACAGGCTGGGGGCACAATGGGCATCCGCTCCCTGGACCACAGGCCCCCTCTGCCACCCGTTAGCAGATATAGGCTAAGAAAGATCCAGGGTGCCAGGGTCCCCACTTGATTGTGGAATGACTTTGTGGCTGTTCTTCGAGGCCATTTGCAGCAGGTTCCTGGGTTTCTGACGTCAGGCTAGGTTATTATTAGCCCAGGCTGCTCCAGCACCGGCTGGCCCAGTGGGGGCCCAGCCGGGGCCCAGCCATGGGGCTTTCCCTGACCAGGGGAGGCTGGGAAGCCGGGCCAGGTTAGCGTGGGGGAGCGCAGAGTTGAACGTTAGCTGCCAGGGACCCAGCACTGACCGCACAGCAGGCTGCACCCCGTCCACACCCAGGGCACCCCAGGAGCCCCCATTCCCAGGTGCATCTCAGCAGACCGAGGCCTAAGGCAGCAAATCTGTTTAGTTCTTTGTTGTGTGGGTTTTTACCTGTCCTAATTTGACATTCTTGGAAAGACACATAGCCTACATCTGCCCCTCCCCCCATTCCTCTTCCCCTAATTCCCTTCCCTGGCCTTGTTCCCACCTGGCTCCCGTGGGCAAGAGAACATGAGGCCCCAGCTTCTTGGTAGCTCAGTGTCCTCTGGAAGGTGCAGGCCATGTCCACCAGCGACTCGAGCTCGTGGGCGGCAGAGCTCACTTGGACGGTACAGACTGGATGCCTGGCCCTCCGCACCCCAGCCGCAGCCGTGTGCAGGTCAGGAGACAGGAGCTCTGAAGGAGACACAGGATCCTGTTGGCTTCTCTGGTCCTGTCTGCATCAAGAGACTCTTTCAGCAGCCCATACACCCACTGGCTTGAGCACCTGGGGTACATTTCAGTGCCGGGAGCCCCGACCCCTTCCTAGTGGTGTGTGCAGTGTACACACACCAGGAGCCTCTGTGTCCCAGCGTTGAGGAAAGTCCCACCCCGGCAGCCAGAGTCAGATAATCCCGGACTTGGGGCTCCTGAGGGCAGGACATCAGGGTTCCATCCAGCGTAGCCCAGACCTGCCCGGGCCCTCCTCTCAGCTTAGGGTTCCGCCTTGTGACTTTCCGACTTGTGTTCTGGAACAGTGGGCCAGGGGTCCTGGCAGCAGTTTCAGAAAGGGTGAGGTGAAGGAACTGTCCGTGCTGGGCTCTCCGTGGGTGTCAAGGGCTGTGAGTGTGCAGCCCGTTTTCCCTCTGGACCCACCTGGGGACAGCTGTCTGGGCACACCGGGCAGCCTTCCCTGTGGGGGCCTGGAATCTCAAGATGTGAACAACGCTTATTTATCTGGGTCTCCCTGGGAAAGTCCTGACCCCTGACATCCCAGGCCCACTGCAGGGGCCGTGCAGGTAATAAATGTGTGTGGACAGTGCAGGGTGTGGGTCCTTGCACACCCAGGCTGAATTCAGCCTGCAGGCTGCCGCAGACAGTCACAGAGACGGCATTGTCAGCCGCGGGGGACTTTCAGGCTGGGTATCGGAGGCCGGCCAGACCAGGCCTGCTGCGTTTCGATTCTGCATGTATCATCGTAAATCAGATAGGGATTGTCAGACCGGACACCCATGTGAACCATTGCAAACTGTCTAAAACTTTCAGATCCTAACAAAAGCCAGTGAAATAGCCCACCCTGTCCACTGTTTTATTCCCCCCCTTCCCCCTGTTCCCTCCACAATGTGGTACTTTTGTGTATTTACCCAATTGAGTTACAAACTTATATCTACCCAGAAACCTGCACACGGATTTCTTTTTATAGGTTTATTTATTTGAAAGGCAGTTAGCGAGCGAGAGAGAGAGATCTGCCATCCATTGATTCACTCCGCAGATAGGCACAACAACCAGGGCTGGGCCATACCAAAGCCAGGAGCCTGGAATTCTATCCAGGTCTCCCATGGGTGGCAGGGATCCAAGTAGTTGGGCCATCTTCTTGCTGGTTTCCCAGGCACAGTAGCAGGGAGCTGGATGGGAAGTAGAGCAGCCAGCGAACTGGCATTTGCACAGGATTCCAGTGTTGCAGGTGGCGGCCTAAGCCGCTGTGCCACAGCGCCAGCCCACACAGATGTTTGTAGCACCTTATTCACAGCCCAGATCTCTGTCCTTAGATGAATGGGTAATGAAACGCGATTCCACATTCAAAAGAAACAAGCTTTCAAGACGTGGAGGCGCCTTAGTCGCCTGTTGCTGAAAAAAAGCCAGACGGAGAAGGCTGCCTTCCGTGTGGTTCCCACGGCGGGACCTCTGGGAAAAGACAAAGCTGTGGAGACAGAACAGGATCAGTGGTTGGGACAGGCATTTGGCACAGCGGGCAGGAGGCCGCGTGGGTGGGGTGTCTGCATTCCCTGTCGAAGTGCCTGGTTCCATGGCCAGCGCTGCTTCTGACTGCACTGCCTGCTGATGCACACCCTGGGAGGCAGCGTGTGATGGCCCAAGTGCCTGGATCCCTGCCACTCACACGGGAGACCCCCCTGGAGCCCACGGCTCCTGCTTTGGCCTGGCCCAGCCTCAGCTTTGGCTGGAATTTGTGGCGTGAACCAGCAGATGGGAGATCATTCTGTCTGTCTCTTTCTTTGTCTCACTACCTTTCAAGTAAGTAAAATATGGGTGCATGTTTTTGGCACAGTGGTTCAAGCTCTCCTTGGGACACAAACATCCCACATCAGAGTGCCTGCTGCAAATCCCAGCTCTGCTTCCAATCCAGCTTCCTGCTGATGTGCATCCTGGGCAGTAGAAGGTGATGGCTCAAGTTCTTGGGTCACTGCCACCCACTTGAGAGACTCAGATGGGGTTCTCAGCTCCTCACTTTGGCCTGGTCCAGACCTGGCTGTTGTAAGCATTTGAGGAGTGAACTAGTGGATATACCATCTCTGTGCCTCTTTCTCTCTCTGTCTCTGCAAATAAAATGATAATAAATACTTTTGTTGAGGGTTAAATGAAGAAATAAATTGAACAAGGGTCAGTGGCTGCCAAGGGTTGAGGGAAAAGGGGTGGCAGGCGGAGCTGAAGCCACTCCCTGTGACACTGCAGGGGCAGACACATGCCGTTACAAGTCTGTCCAGTACCACGAGGGAATGCTGACATCCCCCGTGGACTCTGGGTGGCAGTCCCTGAGTGTGGCAGACGTCCTGTTGCTGTGTTGGGGAGGTGGGGCAGGGCGCACACAGAAAATCTCTCCCTTCCCCTCTCCCTTGCTGTGGACTTGCAACTGCTCTATAAATCGGTCTGTTTTTTAAAAGCTTTGTAACTATATTCGTCAAGGAGCCCAGCCCCCTGCCCCAGCTGCCAGCAAGCTCAGCGTTGTCCCCAGCCCTGCTGGAAGCCACTGACCCACCCTGACCTCCCCTCTCTCTCCAGCACTGCAGGGAGCGGCCCCGGTCCATGGTGGTCATCGAGGTGTTCACCCCCGTGGTCCAGAGAATCCTCAAGCACAACATGGTGAGTGCCGGCGCCCGGCCACTGCGCCTCACCCTCCTGCGTGGAGTGAGTTGGGGTCTGGGGAGTTTGATGCAGCCACACCCGCAGTAGGTCAGCATGGCAAAGGCCGGTGGCTGGGGGAGGGCAGCTGGGTCTCATGCAGAGTCCCAGCCTGTCTGGATCCTCGGCCTCTGGGCATGGAGTGGGACTTGTGGTTCCTGCAGTGTGGGCTGTGTACCGCAGCTGCTGCCCAAGGAGCACAGTGCAGAGGAGCAGCCGAGATGAGCTGCCCGGGGAGTGACCTGACAGACACATGCCAGCCGGGTGGCCACAGCCACCTCACCGTGATGAGCCACGTGATAAACGTGGCATTCAGGGTCTTCCTCCTGGTAACCCACAACTCCAGTTTAATCCTGAGAAAGACAGTGGACATATCCCAGCAGAGGGATGGTCTACAAAACACCCAAGCAGCGGCCAGCATTGGGGTGTGGCATCTTATGCTGCCACCTGCAGTGCCAACATGCCACATGGACACTGGTTCAGGTCCTGGCTGCTCTACTTCTGATTCAGCTCCCTGCTGATGGCCTGGGAAAGTAGTGGAAGATGACCTAAGTGTTTGGGCCCCTGCACTCACATGGGAGACCTGGAGGAAGCTCTGGGCTCCTGATTTCAGCCTGGCTCAGCCCCAGCCATTGTGGCCATTTAGGGAGTGGGAGGATCTTTCTCCGTCTCTGCCTCTGTTTCTCTGTAACTCTGCCTTTCAAATAAATAAGTAAATAAATTAAAAAAAAAAAAAAGTACACCTCAAAGTAGCCCTGCTCATCAAAAACAGGGAAGTCTGAGAAAATGCCCCAGCCCCAAGGGGCCTGAAGAAGCCTGGTGGCCAAATGCCAGGTGGGATCCTGGGTGGTGTCCTTGGACAGTGAAGGACTCTGGGGGAAGCTAGCTTTGCAAGAGCAGGCAGACAGAATTCAGTTACAGCAGCTCCAGTCGGCTGGGCACATGCAGTTCGTGGAGTTCCATGCTTTCTCCTCACACCGAGGAGAACTGTGAATACTGTTTTCTCCACGGGGAAACTGAGGCTGAGCAAGCTCCACTGACTGGCCACAGGGGCCACAGCTGGGACTCCGCATAACCAGCACGTACTCACGGGTACTCATTGTCACCTCCTGGAGCAGTGTGATGCTGAGTGTGGGAGGCCATTTTCCCGAGAGCCAGCCCGGAATGTCCTGCCACAGCGGGAGCCTAGACCCAGAAAGGCTGGGCAGGTCCTGTGGGGTCTGACAGGTGGCTGTGAGTACCCATGAGGGGAGCAGGGAACAGGCATGTGAGACCAGGGCCCATTCCCATCTGCATGTGGGCCTGAGCCAGCCCCCAACACAGACTTAAAGTCACCAGGGCACATGACAAGCCCCAAAGTGACCATGACCTGCAAACCTTGTCACCCGTGATGTGGCTTCCCCATCTCCATACTGTGCCCTGAAGAATGCTATAACCCTGCACCCCTTCCCCCATGAGGAGCGGAAGTTTGGGACACCTGCCCTTCTCTCCCCATCCCATGCTCTTGGAAGACATCAATAATCAACTACAGCATTCTTCCTACAGAGCTGTCTATCCATCCACACAGCGATCCAGGCAGCCACTACCACTGGCACCATGATGGATTCTATTTCCCATTCTCCCCCAGGAGCGATTTGCAAGCCTCCTAGCCTTGGAGTAAACTCATTTCTTGTTTTCTAAAGATGAAATAGGGATGCCCTGTGTGATTCTTCCTCCAAGAAAGCAAAGACATCTGGGGTGGGGAGTGGGGGGTCTGCCTTCCTTGGGGCTCTAATAGTCGCTGGGAGGGGCACTCCCTGGCTTTGGCAGAAGTCCCCTAGGGTGTAGAGACCGGCTGTGGGCTGATGGCCCTGTGGTGGAGCTGGGCCTTTCTGTTGATACAGGCAGGCTGAGTCAGTGGCTAGCCAGCATGCCTCTCCTCTTGCCAGCCGTGTGCGTGCTGGGGTAGACAGCGACGGCTCCAAGGAACATTCGAGAAATGAGATCAAACCCTGCAGTGGTGCTCTGGAATTTGAGGGGCATCCCCTGTTCTGAATGCATCTCTTGCAAGTATCTTGTGTGCCCCATTTTGTGGAGGAGCGATCCCAAGCCTAGAGAGTCTCAAGCGTGCTCCTCACTGGAGCAGCGTGGAGCTTCAGACACGGAGGCACAGGCGTTTGTTTCCCGGAGATTCCATCCAGATGCCTCCTCCAGGTGTGTCCTCCGGAGTGACCGTGTGTCCCTGGGGCGACCTGCCATTCGTTGGACGTCTTTGTGGCAGAGGAGGCCAGGAGATGCAGCTGTGGTCTCCCGTGGACCCCTGATGTCCTCAGGGGAGCGTGTGTGACTTTCTCAAAGACCAGACTCCTCCATAGTATTTATTTCCAAGGAAACAACCTTGAATATGCAGAAATATGTTAGCAAAGGTAACCAGTGTTTCCTTTAACAAAGCCCTGTGGAAGCAGTTTTCTTAGATTCTTAAAACCCCAGCTGTGGCAGCAGGGGCCTCCCGGGACCACCGCCCAGCTTTCCGTCCCTTTCCCAGGAGACCGGGACTATCAGTCTTCTGATGTCGCAGCCCAGTGCTGCACATGTGTGGGGGCGTGTGCACGCGTGTGGCGGTTCTGCTGCCCTCTGCAGCAAGGCATAGCCCTCGCGGGCACACAGGGAGCAACACGAGGCCTTCCACTGCGGGTGAAGGAGCCTGGGGCAGTGGCTCCAGAAAGCTCCTGAGTGTCCAGGCCAGGGGCGTGGTGGCCACCGTAGGGGAGGGTAGGAAGACAGATCAGTCGTCTTGCTGGTCAACCCACCACCTTCCCAGACACAGGTGGGCAAGACCAGGTCACACCTCGCCACTCCTGGTACTCGGAAGGCACAGGTACAGGCTTTGGAAGGGGGCTGAGCTCCAGGCCTGGCAGGCCCCGCCCCTCCCTGGCCCCGCCCTAACCATGATGGTCGAGTGAGTGCCGCTGGCCCCAAGGGAAGGGTCCTTTCCCAGCCGTGCCTCTGTATCCTGCATCACCTGTTGCTCTCTGGGCAAGTCCCCAGCACCTGTGCTGAGAGGTGGTTGTGGGCCCACCTCTCCTGTCTTCCCCAAGCCCTGTCACTCACCTATTGACGGGTCTGAGAACATATTGGTCTCTAGTGCGGTCACTCAGCTGTAGCATGGGGGGTCCCCATGTCCTTTAAAAGAGCCTCAGCCAAAGTTGCAGCTCCCTGGGCTGCTGGGGGCTGCCAGTTTCTTAGGGTGGACCAGTTGTCCCGCCCACAGCTGTGGCCACCTCCTGCCTTCTCCCTGCTCTCAGAGAATCTGTTGTGTGTGTGTTCTACCCACCTTCCCCCACGCCTCTCACATGCCCAGCCACTCCATCTCACACACACACACACCCCAAGTCCTTACACATGTGCCCTTACCGCCTCGCCCACCTCTCCCGCCACGCCTCTCGCACACACCCCTTGTCCAGCTTTTCTGTCTCCTCTGCCTTTTTGTAGCTCCCATGCCATTTGAAAGCCCGCAGTCCTCACGCTCATGTGTCCAGGTGGAGCTCACGGGCGGGCAGCAGGGGAGGATGCACCGGGAAGCCTGCCCCAGGCCCCTCCCGCCTGTCCCTGCGTTACTCAGGAAAAGGACCACAGCTCCTCTCAGCACAGTGGTGTCGGGCCCTGGGGCTTTGTTCCCCCAGCACTGCCTTTGCTTCGGGCGTACCCCTGCCCCCCAGTGTTGGTGGCCCCATGCCAGGACCCCTCCAGCCTCACCCCGCAGCCTGCAGGAAGCAGGAGGCCCAGCAGCTCTACGAGGCCTCGTGAGAATTTCAAGCTCCCTGAAGGGTTATCGGAGCTGGGCTGGACGTCTGCAGGCCCCTCGTGGTCACACAGAAGAGAGGCTGCCCTTGACCCTCCCGAGGACACTTGGGGGTGTCCATGGACCTCCTGTGCAAGGCCATTGCTGGCCTCCCAGGACAGCCCCTGCAGCGTGGAAGCGAGGGTGTGAGGGTGCCGGCTCATTGCAGTGACATGCGCTCGGTGTGCTCTGTGGCCAGCAGCTCCGCCCCGTGCCCACTGCGCTGGCCCCGCCAGCACCTGCCCAGCTGCTGTCCTGTGCTCTCCCTGCAGGACTTTGGGAAGTGCCCGCGACTGAGGCTGTTTACTCAGGAGTACATCCTTGCCTTGAACGAGCTCAACGCGGGGATGGAGGTGGTGAAGAAGTTTATTCAGAGGTGAGTCTCCTGCCGGACGCCTCTCTGCCCTGGCCCGGCGCCAGCCTACCTCTGCATCCCACAGCCACCAGCGAGGGCCGCAGGGCTGACCAGAGGCCCCAGCGTCTCCTCTGCTATGGGACGCCACTGGATGCCCCAGTGTGGCCCAAGCCACTCGATTTCTGTGTGACGTTGGGCCTGTCACTGCACCTCCCTGGTCCCTGGTCCTCAGCCATCCACGGAGGGCTTTGTGCAGTTAAATGAGATGTTATATGAGGAAGCCTCTAGCATGCTACAGGGTAGGAACTTGAGATGCTGTAAAGGCCCTAGGAGATGTCAGCACTTCCATGAGTGCCTGCAGCCCTTGGGTGCCAGGTGTTAGGCGATAGCTTCTGTCCCTGGTGCTCCCAGAGTTATCCTTGGGGTTCTGAACAACTATGCCCCTGCCAACACTGCCCCAAGCTTGGCTAAGAGGAAGCCAGATCTTTTTAAGGTAGTATGTATTTTCATTTCTATATGAAGGGCCGAGAAGTCCCATCAAATACCCCCCAGTAGCTGGGGCTGGGCCAGGCCGAAGCCAGGAGCCTGGAACTCAATCCAGGTCTCCCACGAGGGTGGCAGAGGCCCAGGTACTTGAGCCATCACCTGCTGCCTCCCAGGGTGCAAACTGTCAGGGAGCTAGGTGGGAAGCAGGGCTTGAACCTGGCACTCTGATACAGGACGTGGGTGTCCCAAGGGGCAACTTAACTGCTGTGCGAAGCGCCCACCCCATGAAGCCAAATGTTTTTGTTCTGAGTGGCTTCCGGCGCTTGGGCTTGGGGCTGTTTTTTGGCTTTGCTTTCACTGTTAACCTCTTGCTCTGTGCATCATTTCCCTCATCTGCAGAACGAGAACTGTAGTTCCCCCTTCGTCCAGGCAGTGTGGATGTGACTGGCTCAGGCCACAGGCTGAGAACGTGGCTGAGCCTGCCATGGGAGAGTGGCCTGCCACTCCTACTCTTCTTGTTTTTTTATGAAAATCAAACTAACCTGTTTAAACCAGTTCCAAAGCTACAGATTTCCAAAGTGAGCTCCCACCCCCACCCAGAACTCACAAAGTATTTGTGGACCCAGTGTGCCCTGCGCCAGGGCCCTGGGGACTTCGGGTCTGTTCAGAGCACCCACTGTGATCTGCAAAGCCTTGTCAGCTGAGGCGTCTTGGCAACAGCAGCCACAATGATAATTTTCCAGGACTGTGGTCTTATCCCCGCACTCACAGCCAACCCATTTTACAGATGGAAAACAGGCTCAGGGATCCCCACGACGGTCACTGTGAGAACATAGTGACTCTCCCAGACCCTGTGCTGAGCTACGACGACCACAGTCATTTTTGTTCCAAAGCGAGGAACGTTGGAGAGTACAGTGGGGTGTCGTGAATAATTATCCCAGAACCACCAGATGTAAACCAGACTGTCCCAGGATAGTGGCCCTGAGGAGGGGGAGGGGCTGTCACCCTCACCGTATAGCCTGGGCGACTGAGGCTGGAGAGGCACGAGCTTGCCAGCCCTCAGCTGGATTCGAGCCCAGGCACACTGGGTCTGCAGCTTTGTTCTCCGCTGCATGCACGTGGCACAGCTGGGACCCTGGTGTCACAGTTGCACAGCCCTAGCTCTGAGGCCCCTCTGAGCTGTGAGAGGCCCGGGGCAGCCCCTCTGCCCCGCCCACCCGTGGGACCTTCTCACTGGCGCCTCTGCTCTTTTCCAGCATGCACGGCCCCACCGGGCACTGCCCCCACCCCCGGGTCCTGCCCAACCTGGTGGCTGTGTGCCTGGCCGCCATCTACTCCTGCTACGAAGAGTTCATCAACAGGTCAGCTACCTTGGAGGGCCTGGGAAGGGTGTGCCACCACCCGCACTGTGGGGACGAGCCGCCACAAGGGCTGGGCTGGGGCAGTGGAGCGGCTTCTGCTGGGCGAGCCTCGTGACGCGTTTGCCACCTGCCCTGGGCCCCGTGATGTGGGCCTCAGAGCCCAGGGCTGTTGCTGGAGCAGCAAACCCTGAAGCCACGCCAGCACTGCAAGGCTGTGGAGGCTGTGCCGCGTGCTGAAGGTTCTCTCCTGGGGGAGTATGTTCTGCACTTGAGACTCTGCATACCACGTGTGCGTGTGTGGAAGGTGTGAGGGCACACGCGTGTGGGCTGGTGTGTGCGTGCATATACATGTGCCTTTTGCCAAGGTGTTGGGCACAGGGGCCAGGTGGTACAGTTTGCCCTTTGCAAACTCAGGATCTTGCCCATGGCTTGCGTGTTTCTCTTTTGAGCTGGCTGTGGCCAGGCACGGTTGCTGGTGGTACCGCGAGAACAGTCCCAAGTTCCTGCCCTCTGGGAGCTTAAATTCCGTGGTGGGGATGGGTGGGGTCCCTCACAAGGTGGGCACACAAGGTGATGCTGCTTGGTGAGAAACGCGGTTTAAACAGTCACGTCGGTAGGCCGTGACCAGAGGAGGTCGTGGCGGGGCCACTGCCTGGGCTTGGGTCCCCCCAAAGCAAACTCTAGCCCAGGATTGGGGTGGAGAAGCTTACCAGGGAAGTCAGAGCTCCCAGGAAGCCCCGGAGGAGACAGGGCGGGTAGACAGGCAGTAAGGTGTGAGTTAGTAAGCAGGTGAGCTGTTGCTGCTCCCCAGGACAACCCCACCCCCCACCCCGTGACTCGGAGTTGTCCCCTGAGGCTGCGACACTGGGATAGGCTCTTCCCAGCTCCCACCCCTCACTGGGCGAGGCCCACTCCTGGGATCAGATGCCAGTGGTTTGTCCAGAATTTTCTGCTGTGGCATCTGGGTCACACACAGATAGACACAAACATACAGAGACAAAAATACACACAGAGACACACACCAGGCACCCACCCAGCCGGGCTCCTTTCCTGTGACTGTTCTGCCTCCCTGGGCTGCTCTGTGGACCCCTAGCTGGAATGGGGGCCATCTAGCTCCTGTGAGGCTCCAAGACCCTTCCCCAGGGCCTGGCGCCAGCTTCCCAGGACCAGGACCAGGAGCAGGGAGCAGAGGACAGAGAGACCGGATCAGTCAGAGGTAGAGGGGACCAGGCTAGGAACTGCACTCCATGGCACAGCCTGGGCGGCAGCCCTGGCCTTACTGCCTGCTCCCAGCTGGAGACCCGTCTGTGCCGGCTGCTGCAGATGCAGAGGGGAAGCCGCCGGGCCGCCCCTGCCCTCCCAGGGCCAAGGGCGGAGGGCACGGTGGAGTCAGCGGCTCCTGCGCACTTTAATCCAGGTGATGAGAAGGGACCCAGAATGTAGGACACAGGAGTCTGCCCTGGTGGCGTGTTGGGGTGCCCTGGGGAGGAGCTTTAAAAAGCACACTGTGAAGCCCCAGCTCCAGCATTCCTGCTCGCTCTGTGGTTGCTCCCAGCACCGTGGGAGGGACGCACAAATGGAGCCCTACACAAATAGGCCGACCCCACGACGCTGCCCCAGCACCCGTGTGTGGCAGCGGGAATGAGTGAGCTAGGACAACCAGCAAACCACGAGCACGTCTCACACCCATGCTGCTGAGCGGACAGGGCCAGCCGATACGTGCCGTTGTGTTTCCTCACAAGGGAAGCTCAGGCCTGGACAAACCAGCTGTGGTGACAGAGGCCGGAAGAGCGGCCACCTTGGGGGAGGGCCACGAGAGGCCTCCTGGTTCCTGGAAGCGTTTGTCATCTTGCTGTGCATCAGCATGTCTCCATCACGGCCAGCGTTCCTCCCAGAGAAGATTTGGCAATGACCGGAGACAGTTTTGGTCGCCACACAACACTGCTGGCCTCCAGTGGGGTAGGAGGCAGGGAAGCTTCTGAACAGGCGCCGCCCACCACGGAGAACTCCCAGACCCAGAACGTCCACGGCGCCCACGTGAAGCACCCTGGCCCGGGGCTCTTGCACTGGCGTTCCTGTAACACTTGCCATGCCCCAGCCCAAGGTCACGCGCGTCACTGTATTCAAGTGGCACCACAGTGAGACGCGGCCTGCTCAGCACTTACGTACCTTTGGAAGCCCACCTCCCCCTGACTTGGTAGCCCGACTTCGGTCACAGGCAGACATTCAAAGTCAGGAGACGTGGTTGGTAGCTGTCTACTGGCACACTGCAGCTTGCAGCTCCGTGGAGAAGAAAACGAGAAAAAGATGCGGGGTGCGGGGTGGGGGTGTTAGGGAAGGCTCCTTCAGGGAGGTGAGACCAGCAGACAGCGCTCCAAGCAGAGAGAAGGCGCACACGGGCCTGGCAGGGACGGCTGGAGTTACCGCCAGTCACAAGATTTTTGTCTCTGGTGCCTGAATACCGACCGGCCTCAGAAATGCAGATTCCTGGATGCGGTGCTTCTGAGCCAGGGCCCAGGAATCTGCATTCTTTGCCGACTGCACAGGTGATTCTGCTACTTGCCAAAGCTGAGGGCCCTCCCAGGGGAGGATCTGAACGAAGCTGAGTGTGGCCAGAGCAGAGGGCTTGAGAGGGCCGGGCCGTCTGCCTGAGATTCCTGGGGGCAGTGCTGATCTGCAGGTTTGGATTCAACAGATCCCGACGGCTCCCCACCGATGCCACCTGCTGGGGACCACACTTTGCAGAGCAGGGCTGCACCTGTGTTTCAGTGGTGGATTTTTGTTTGTTTGTTTGGTAAACATAGGAGAGTCTGCAGTGGGTTTTAGGTACAAGAGGGACAGGATGCGATTTCAGTTCCAGGCTCCCCCTGTTGCTGTTTGGTGGAGCATGGGCTGGGGGCAAGCCTGCCGTGGCTGGGGGGGCAGCTACCAGGTGGCAGCTGCAGTGAGGTGCTAGGTGGAAGCCTGGCGAGGACAGCACAGCCCCGGCCCCGACTCCAGCCGGCCCGGCTGATGCCACGAGCTCCTCCAGTGTGTCATCTGCTGCCAGGATGTTTCCCGGTCCAGGTCCCTCACGCCCCCACCGCCCAGTCCCCGCAGGATAAAGGCCGTGACGTCCCCCAGGCTGTCCCTGGTGCTCCGGTGGGCACAGGATGTACTCACACTACAGAGAACAGACAGCTTGACCCAGGTTAGCATGGCTCTCTGGAAAATCACCCATCAGAGCCAAACAGCCTTGTAAGCGCCCGTTCCTAAATCCCAGCACAGGCAAACAAAGGCAAGTGGAGTGTTGAGAACTTGGGGAGCAAATGAGATCTGAACCAGAGGAGACAGTCAGGCTGCCCCTCCCCCGGACCACACACAATTTCCATCAGCCATAGCCTTCTCGGATCGTAGCCAGTGGGTCGTTTCTTTACGCCAGCGAAGTTTAAAGTTTATTAAGCACCCTTGGTGGGCTCTGCTCGGCTCGGCTCATGACCTGCGCCAGATCAGTGCGGACCCTCACGAATGCATCTCATCTGAGCTCTGCAAAGCGCCAGAGACGAGGCTCAGGCCGGTCCCTGGGAGTGTCCGCATCTCTGCAGGCACAGGGCGCCTGCCTGTGGCACATTCAGCGGGGGCTGGAGCAACAGCTGTTTGTAATCATGCGACTGTGCTCAGAGCAGTGGCTCTTGACCTTGACCTCGCACGGGAGAGCCCTAAAGACTGCTCAGGTCCAGCCCCACCCCGGAAATTCTGATCTGATTTGGCTTCAGTGTGACTAGAAGTGCCCCCAGGGGATCCTGGTGTCCGTCAGGGGCGGGAAGCTCTGGTTTAGAAGGATTTAGGGTGCAGAAGAAGAAATGAAAGACCATGAGTAAGCATCTTGGAAGTTGCCCTCATGGGAAGGAGACTGGGCTTTGCAGTTAAGAGACATCCCAGCCCCCTCCTCTCATGGGAAGGTCATTAACCCCTGGGAGAATCCGTGTGATAGCCCTTGGGCTGTGTCAGCACCCGGGAACCTGCAGGGGCAACCAGTTCCAGCCTTGCTGCCCCTTAGCCTGCACGACCCCAGGAGCCCCTTGGTTAGGGGAGGGCTTTAGCCAGGCCAAGGCCCCCACAGGTGCTGCCAGCAAGGGGCCTCATTATCTTGTCTTGGGCCCAGCGACATAAATCAGTCTTCTCAGTTAACGCCTTGTTGCACCCTCCAGGGAAGTGGACCTGGGCACTAGGGGACTCTGTGACATGAAGGTCCGGGCAGAACAGTGGAGGGACCCTAGGAAGCAACTAGCAGTCACCTAGTAGGTCTCATGGGTGTGTCCGGAAGACAGTCAGTGGGGGTGATGCCAAGAGATTGACACTCATGGTCACCAAATACGGAGCTCCTACAGTGTGCTGGCAGCAGCATGGGCTCTACAGACAGGCAGCCTTTTCCTGTCTGCAAGACCCAGGACAGGCCTCTGTTTCCTCACCTCTAGGGAGGGGGCGGGAACCCAGAGAGGCAGTATGGCGGTGCATGGTGCCGCTCTTGGCCAGCGTCGCGGGCCGGTGCCGTGCTCACGGGCCCTCTCCCACTCTTCCTGCAGCCGCGACAACTCCCCCAGCCTGAAGGAGATCCGGAACGGCTGCCAGCAGCCCTGTGACCGGAAGCCCACCTTACCTCTGCGCCTTCTGCACCCCAGCCCGGACCTGGTGTCTCAGGAAGCCACGCTGTCCGAGGCGCGGCTCAAGTCGGTGGTCGTGGCCTCCAGCGAGATCCACGTGGAGGTGGAACGCACCAGCACTGCCAAGCCGGCGCTGACGGCCAGCGCGGGCAACGACAGCGAGCCCAACCTCATCGACTGCCTCATGGTCAGCCCCGCCTGCAGCACCATGAGCATCGAGCTGGGCCCCCAGGCCGACCGCACACTCGGCTGCTACGTGGAAATCCTCAAGCTGCTGTGAGTGTCCCCCGCCAAGAGCCCACCGCCCGTCTCTGCTTAGCTTTGCAGCTGTGTTTGTGGGCAGGATGAGGATCATGTGTGGATGTGTACACTTGAGTTGGGGTGTGAGGAAGTGCAGAAGCTAAGGCGGTGAGCGTGTGTGTGCAGGATGCAGGGGTGTGAGCCCATGTGTGAGTGTGGAAGGGCACACAAGAGTGCACCTGCATCCCTGTGAGCCTATGTTGCATGCATGCATGCATGTGTGGCTACATGGCATGGTCATTTGTGTGCATGCATGCTTTGGTACCTGGGCACGTGTGTAGGGTGCAGGAACAAGCATGTGTATACACAGGTGTCTACCCACAACTTCCAGAGTGTTCAGGAGCGCAGGGATGCTGGACACAGGCCTGTGGGTGGATCTCTCAGAAGAAACCTGTATTTATGTTTTGGTGTCTGTGTGAGACATGCGTAAGTGTGGGCATGTATTTGTGTGTGTGACCGTGTATGCACAGGATTTGGGGCGTGTGTTTCTTTTTGCATGTATGCACATGTGCCTGTGAGACAGCATATGTGTTTCTGCATTATGTGAGCCATACATGCACGTGTGGGTTGGTGTGGGGAATTGTGTGTGTGTCTACTGACGGTGGAGCATGTATGCACAGGTATCTGTGTGCACACATGTGGAAGCATTCCCTAAGGGGATTATCTAATTGGAAAACTGCCCCTCTGGGGTGTGCTGGGATCCAGGGGTGTGACTTGGACTGGCCGAAAAGTTGTGGAGAGGGAGCGAGGAGACAGGTCACGGGTGGGCCCTGGGCAAGGCCGCTTCTGCCGGGTGCTGAGGCCTGGCCCTGGCCCTCCCTGAGTCTCAGTTATGTGGCTACATCATTCACTCTCTACCGCCCCAAGTTGAGGGTTTTGTAGGCTGCTCCCCATGCCCATGCAGAGTTTTAGCTCCCATGGATGAGCGAGGTCTAGGGACCCTCACAGTGCCTCCTTTCCCTCCCTGCTGAGCCGAGCTCAGCCCACTCTGGGGAGACCCAGTGCCAGAAGTTCTGTGTCCAGACGTGGCTGGTGGTGGTTGCTGGACTTCTCAGATGGACTGGGATAGAGCTGCGTCGTCACGTTTCACTGCACCAGAGCCTATCGAAAACCAGGGGCCTTGTCTTGGGGAGGTGGCTTGGAAGCTCAGCCCTGGGGTGGCGGCAGGGTGTGCTGGGTGGAGGTGGGGGGATTGCTTAGTCCCTGTGTGGTGGTCACCACGCGGCTGCGGTGGGTAGCAATGTCCACTTTCGTGGCCGTTTTGCTGCTGGGCTTTGCTCGTGGCGAGGGGTAGAAGGGAGCTTCTGGGGCCAAGTGAGCCAGTGACAGCAGCCGGGAAGTACTCGGGGTGCCCCATGCTCACAACAGAGCCTGTGGTGTCGGGGAAGGTGGGCACGCCCATGCATGCATGCACCTGCATCCCGCCATTGCACTGCAGCTCCCTGTGGTTGGAAGGAGGACACGGAGCAGGCAGCATCCCAGCCAGCTTCCTTGTGGGCCCTGGAGAGGGAAGGGCACGGCTGGCCCAGGGATAGCACCAGCCTCGGCCCATGCTGCCAGCAGCAGCTGAGGCCAGGTGAGGGCATCACCACATTCGGCTGCTCCCTGGCCCTCAGAGGGACAGAGGACGGAGCGCGCAGGTCTCACACTACCCCAGGATTTTGGAGAGGGCCTCCCCACTATGGGAGGGACAGCGACCCACCAGGACGGGCCCTGCCCTGCTCCTCGGCCCCCGGCTCCAGCTGTTTTCTGCAAACACCGAGAACTCCCAGGCCTCTGCTGTCTTGGGTCCTGACTCATATTTCTCATTAAGCGCTGGGGGTTTCAGTTTCATCATGCAATTGACACACATATTTTTTCCTTCTTCATAAACACACTCATGAATGAAGGCCCTGTTCTCGCTGATCTGCTTCCAGACCTCCTGCCTGCCCGCACAGCCCAGCTGCCAGGGGCTGGGGGCGGGGGGACCAGGGCCCCCAGGGAGGTGGTCCTGCTGGGGCAGGGGTCAGCAGCCTCCTGCTCAGAGCAGCAGCTCACGCCCAGCTGAGTTCTCCACAAGCTAGACTTCCGGAAGCCTCTTTTGCACCGGGAGAGCTCAGAACACAATCTGGGCCTAATAACTTTGTTTTTCTAACATTCTTGTCTAACCCAGATGGTTGCTTAGGTCACTGGCTCGTTGGGGGCCTCAGACATGCTGGATCCAAACAGGCCAGAGCTCTAAAGTCCTCAAATGTGACAGGGGGGAAGCCCAGGTCCAGAGGCAGCCACCCTGGTCCGGGCCTGCATGATCCCTCGGAGCCTCAGCTCCCATGCTGGGAGGTGGAGGGGGCGTGGCTGTGAGCCCCCCCGCCCCCCGCCCAGAGCAGACACCTCCAGGAGGTGGACTCCTGGAGAGAGGGCATCACCTCCGTTTACAGGTGCACAGTGTTTGCTCTTTTTAAAGATAGTGTTGAGAGAGGCGTGCATCGTTGATAGAGAGCTTTGAGAGAGGAAAAAAAGGGCAACAGCAGCGTTCAGGTGCATTGGTGTGTGAGAAGCCTGCGTCTGCACACTGGGGGAATGTGACCGTGTGGCTCCTCTGTGTCCCTGTGGGCGGCGCGCTGGGCTGCGCCGAGCCTCGGTTTCCTTGCCTCTATCATGGCTGCCTTCCTCAGAGGAGCACTGTGAGAACCCGAGGATGTGGAAGATGTCCCAGGCGGGCTCAGCCGCTGGTCCTTGCTCGGAGTGAATTGCCGTTTGCACTACTGAGGGGCTCTCCAAGTAGGGGTTGTGCATAAAGGCGAGAGAAGCAGATGATGTTGTGCAGAGTCTCAGAGGGCTGGGGGGGCTAGGGAGGTCATGGAGGCCTGGCCCAGCTTGGTCCATCCCATGCTCTGGAGGGCGTGCTGCTGCCGCCAGGGGGCACAGGTCGGCTCAGCCCACCCTGCGGCCAGTGCAGGGCAGAGGGCAGTGTCTCAAAGGCACAGTTCCTGGAGTGTGGCCAGGTGTTCCCAGAGGGAGGCCCTGGCACCATTAGAATCGGACGCCTTAGAAAGTAGTCTACACCATTGAAGTTCCCTGGAGCCTTAGGAAAGGAGAGGAGAGGGGAGGGGAGGGGAGGGGAGGAGAGGAGGAGAGGGGAGGTGAGGGGAGGGGAGGGGAGGAAAGGGGAGGAGAGGAAAGGGGAGGAGAGGAGAGAAAAGGAGTACCGTCTCCTTCCAGGGGGCCAATCAGGCCCCTCAGAACCCCTGCCTGCTGCCCTCCCTCCTGTCCCAGGCCAGCCTTAGCCAAAAGGGAGCGTGGCCTGGTGGGCAGAGGCAGCTGCGCTGGCTGCCTTGAGCCGGCATTGCTGTCCGAATGCTCACAGCAGGTACTCTGGCCACCGGAGCCTGAGCCAGGGCCAGTCAGGGAGAGACCCACCCGCCAAAGGATCCCTTGTCCCCTTCCTCAGGGGCCAGCCACCCCAGCCTCTGGCCAGTGTACCACGGTGTCCCACCCACACAGCTCAGACTGGAGAAGGGCCAGCAGCTTGACCACAGACTTTGAGGCAGGACTGGGCCAGGTGAGGAAGGAAGCTGCTTGCCCTCTTCCGCTTTCTGCACCTGCCACCCCTCTCTCGGGCCTGTGGGAGCTGCCATGAGGGAGCCACCAGAAGCCGAGCCCCTGGCTAGGAGACTGGCGAGAAGGCTTGTGCCCCAGCCTCAGCCCAGGCCCAGCCTGGACCCTGGGAGCTAAGAGGGCACAGAGCACCCACAGAGGTCCATGGGTGCAGGCTGCATGGCTGCCCAGGAGCCCAGGGGCACCTGCTTGTGAGGCCCATGGCACCCAAGGGAGCCCAGCCCTGCCTCCTGAGTCCCCCGTGCCCGTGGGTAACTTAAACTCCCTGGAGGGCTTGGGTTGATTGACATATTCACATTGGATGTAGGTTTTAATACAGGAAGAAGAAAAGCGCTAAGAGACGGCCTTTCCATCGGGGAGATAGTCTTCCTCCACGGGTGGGAGCGGGGCCGCCTACCTGTGAGACGTGGGCCATTTGGCAGGAACTGGGCTCCTGGGCCAGAGCCTGCCCTCCCTGCGTCTGTCTTACCGTCTGTAAAACGGGGAGCACCTACAGACCAGGCTGCCGGGAGACCTGCGCAGAAGAGCAGGTGGCACGTGGCTGTCACCGCAGGTAGATGTTCAGGATACCAGTGAGTCAGTGAGGGGCAGGGAGAGGAGAGGGGAGGCTGGGCCAGCCGCACACCAGAGGATGCCCTGTGAGGAGCGAGTGGCTGGGGCCGTGGAGGAGCCCCTGCCTCCTGCTGTGGGCCTCCTGGACCCCGAGACCCGCAGGCGGCTGCACAGGGGCCACCTGCCTCAGGCTCCAGATCCGGCTCTGTGTCTCCCCGCTGCCCGAGCCCGGTTTCCTGGTCCGTGTGCAGGCAGACGCACGCCTGTGGCAGGGCTCCGCAAGTGCTGAGCGAACGGCAGCCAGCGTCACCACTCCGCTTCCCTCGGACCTCCAGGCCTTTCAGATTCCTCCCACGCGCCCGGCATCCGGGCCTTTCCTAGGACCTTCTGGGGTGTGATCTGGGGCCCAGGGGAGCCCCTTTGTGGGGCGGAACAGCCCTCACCTAGGGATCACTTAAACCGTGCGTTGTCGGTGACCGACGGAAGGTTTGTCTTGGGGTGACTCAGCTTATGAAGGGATACGCCGTCCGCCAGGGGTATTCAGTGTGTATGGGGCGGGGTAGCAGTTGGGGAAAATGCCAGAAGGTTCTGGGGGTAAGGGACGAGGAAACGAAGTATGCAGAACCCTGAATTCTGAGCAGAAAGGAGTCTTACTCGGGGTCTGGGGCCGTGCCTTTGCCCAGCCCGGGTGCTGGCACCCTTGAGCCTCTCCTGTGGGCGGTGCCAGGTGCCATGGGGCGTCTGACTGCAGCACTGCCCCTGCAGGCCACTCTCATGCCAAGACAGGATCTCGGTGAAACCTCCACTGGGGCCTAGCTCCTGGTGGCACTCGGGGCACTCGCTGTCCCACGGAGACTCTCCAACAACCCTTTCTGCCCGCAAGTGCAGTGCAGATGCTGAGCTGTGTCACCTTGGGTTCAGCAGCCCTCTTGTGAGCACCAAGCACCTGCTGGGCCCGGTGCCATGCAAGTGGTGGGGGCTGCAGGGATGAGGCCCAGCTGCTGCCCTGGACTGGCAGGGTGCCAGACGAGCACTGCACCAGAACCCCCCCCCCCAGGAAGGCGTGCAGGGGCCGCCACCACACCGGGGGAGGGTTTAACCTCTGGGACCTCAGAGAGCTGGGACTGCAGCTTGGAACGGCACCTGTCAGCAGTGCCCAAAGCCAGAGATGGGGGCCCAGGTGGGAGAACTGGTTATAAATACAGTCGATACAGACACACCCGAGGGGCAGCCTCAGCCACCTACTGGCATCTTGTGACAGATCGCACTCAGATCCTTGATTTTCCTCATCTGTAAAATGGGGGTTGCTTGGGAGTGCTTCGGCGCACGGTGCAGGCCATCCATCATCTCTGGCAGGCCCCGCGCGTCCTGTGTCTTTCTGAGCTGTGCCGGTGGCGGGCATGGAGCCCGCTGACCCCACACAGACCTCTGAAGCATTGTCCTTCCCTTCTGCGACCTCTCGGGGCGCAGCCCCAAGGTCACCCCTCGGGCTTTAATCAGCGGCTTCTCATCTGTGATCGGGGCTCACCTGGGGTTGTGGGGCAGATCCCTGGAGCTCGCTCAGGGGCTCGGCATCCTGGAGCCGGGGCCACCGTCAGTGGTAGCGCTTCTGTATGGGACAGCTCCTTTCCTGGGGCCCGATGGCGTGTGACACTCTCGCACCTGGGGGATGGCGGAGCTGCAAGGGCCTGACCAGCAGTCCTGGCTCACCCCATGCCTGGCTGTGTGGGGACTGAATAGCCCAGCTCTGCCCATAGTCAGGAAGAGCGCCCCCTCCTGCAAGGTTGCATGTATGGCGCTGTCTGCTCCTGCTGTGCCTGGGGTGGGTCCCCTCTCCCCTCCCAAGGTCCCCAGTCTGCAGGGCCTGTGAGAGGCAAGGCTGTGGAGCCAGACACGCCCAGATTGGATGTCTCCCCAGCTGCAGCAGTGTCAGCTTAGGGGCTGGGCCTCAAGTTTCTGCATCCATTCAGTGGGCTGATCACCTCCTCCTCGCTGTGCCCTGGAGACGAGTGAGGGAACCAAGCCGTGGCTCTCATCGTGCAGCTCACGTAGACAGCGCTGGTGAAGTCACGGCCGCCGTTGTCTTTCACTGCCCTCGCTGTGATCATCGGTATCACTGCCGTCATTGGCATCAGCTTCGGAAATCGAAGGAAAGGAGAAGCAGATGTGCAGGGACACAGCATCCTGCCGCTTCTATTTTCCCGCGGCTCTTCCAGGCCCAGCCCAAGCTCACCTCCCTGGTGCGCTGGCCGGGGCTGCCGACTGTACCCCAGAAACGCAGGTGTCCTGCTCGGTGCTGGAGGGTGGAGCCGTGAGGTCAGGGCCCACCTAACGGCCTCACTGTAGTCTAGGCAAGTGCAGTCATGCTGGGTTCTGGGCCAGACCTTCAGCGGCGACATCCATGGGGACACAGTGCATCCTGTCCTGGCCCCGCCTGAAGCAGCTCAGAGGCTGGAGGGTCTGAAGTCCAGGCAGGGAGCCTGCTGCCACCTCGGTCACCATAGCGAGGCCCGTGGGCTGGCCCTGGCCGGGAGATGCCAGCCTCAGATGCTCATGCACCCCAGAGGCCTCCCAGAAGGGGAAGTGGGCACCGCGGGCCCCTGCCATTCCCTCCGGGACACCTGACCTAACTGCTGCCCCTTCTCCTCCTAGGTCGGACTACGATGACTGGAGGCCGTCGCTGGCCAGCTTGCTTCAACCCATTCCGTTCCCCAAAGAGTAAGTCCCGCGCTGTCCTCGAGCCTACCCCTATGAGAAAAACCCTAGCCATGGAGCCACCGCGGACTGACAGCCAACAGATGGAGATGCCGGCCCTGGACCCACCCCACCCTCGGTCATGAGTCCTGGGAGAGGCACAGCCCCCACCCCCCATGTAAACTGGGGTGATCCAGGGGCTGCATTGCAGAGCTCCCCAGATCCAGGAGCTCAGAGAGCCGAGTCCTCCCCACAGTGCCTTGTACACAGCCCAGTTAGCCTCAGATGGGAGGCAGAGAGCTCTGGGTATACAGGGAGGGAGGCCGCTCGCAGCCCATGCCGTGGTTTGCTGGGTGCACCTGTTAGGCCCAGGACAGTCGTCAGCTGGAGCTCCACAATGAAGCTGGCCATAAATGACCCCTCCGTCCCTGTCCCGCTGACCTGTCCCCCAGGGTCCAGCTTATCCCAGGGAAATGGGGAGAAAGCTGTCTGGTGGATAATGACCCAGAGAGAGCTTTGTCCAAATAAGCAGGCCCGCAGATGCCTCCAGGGCTCTGTTTTGATGGATCTGAAGAAGCCAGGCCAGAGGGGTGCGGGGGGCTCTCTCAGGAGCCCATTACGGAGCCTGTGTTTATGAACCGTAGCTCTCCAGGGCGGGCATTACACCTGGTAATTGCCCCATTTGCTGGCCCTCAGCATTGGAGACCGGAGAAGTCTGACTCCTGGGAGCCGCCCTGGTCTCCCAAGAGCGGTGGCGTCACTGGCCGCAGCCCCGTCCCCACAGGCCTGGGGACGCATCTGCCAGCGGCCCATGATGCAATTCGCTTGGAGCTTGGTCCCTGATGGCTGTGCTGCCGTGTGGCAGTAATTAGTGCGGCCGCGCCTTAATTGTGGAACAATTAACGAACACACCTGGGTCCCTGGAGCCCGGGGGCGCCCGAGCGGGCTCCCACACCGGGCAGCACCGGTCCTGTTGCGGTGTGGTCCTGCGTGGCTGGGGCTGGCTCACTCCCGTCCCTGCCTCTGTGGCCTAGCACAGGGGGCCTTTGTTTTGGAGCCTGGGGCAGGGGCAGACCGTTAGCATTTCCCTCTCAACTTCCCCTCCATTCTTGGACTGAGACGCGGAGTCTGGGCGTCCCCAGAGGAAACTTTGGGAACATTGTGCGGCTTCCGAGCCCCGGCTAACTGCCCCCTTCCCTTTGTTTTTGTCACAGAGCCCTCGCGCATGAGAAGTTCACCAAGTGAGTATTCGGGCGACGCCCAGGTCACCTTGTCCCGGCACAGACGTGCTCTGGCCGGAGGGCAGCCCTCCACGGCCAGCCTGGCCCTGGCCCCGTCTCACGTGCACGGAGGGCGGAGACACCGGCTGCGCCCTGACCCCTGGGCTCTGCCCGCTCCCCTTCCCAGCCCGCGCCGCCCGCCCCGTCCAGTCCCTTCCCGCAGGCCCGAGAGTGACTCGGCCCCGCTGCTCTGTTGCAGGGAGCTGAAGTACGTCATTCAGAGGTTCGCCGAGGACCCGCGACAAGAGGTGAGCATCCAGAGCAGGCGGCGGAGGCTCCGGGCCTGTGATGGCCGCGTGCACACGCTGCTCTCCACGTGCTGGGCCAGGCCCTGGTTTGGAGCTGGGCTGCCATGCGCCACTGTCAGCAGGCTAAGCGAGCAGCCCTAGCCGCGGTCTGAGCTGGTGTTCATTTCCCCGGGCGTGGTGGCCGGGGCCCTCCCTGAGGGGCTGCACTGCCCATCAGAGAAGCACAGCTTTCACCCGAGCCCGGGTGCACCAGCAAGGACGTGGGCTGGGATCCTCCCGCCACCTTCCCCTCCTCGCATTGACACCAGTGAGAGTGGCAGCAGCAGATGCGTGTAGCCTCTGCCTGAGTGGGGCCCATGCGTGCTCTCATCTGACGCTCACGGCAGCCCCATCAGCAGGTCCTGTTACCGTCCCTGTGCCGGGGCAGGATTCAGGGCCAGGAAGCCTGGCTCCCCACCGGGGACAGACCTGGATACTTGTGTCCCTCGCAGAGCAGGAAGACGATGGGCAAGGGAGCGAGCAAGTCATTCTCAATGGAGCCATCCAAGGAGGCTTCCTGAGGAGGTGGCACTGCACTGGTTGGACTGAGCTATAAGCTGTGCAGTGGGCCTGAAAAGACAGTTTCCCAGACACGCACACGCATGAGCAGGAGAGTGGAGTCTAGGGCACATCGACACCCAGGCCTCACCATGTGCGACCACTGCCGGCCTCCCTGTCCCAGGGCCCTGCGTGTCCCACTCTCATCCTGGACGTCCCAAACAGCAGTTCTCAAACTTTATTATCAGTGGAGCTTGTACAAGACGCAGCCCCCCCCCACACACACTGCTCCCCTACAGGGCTTCCGCTGGCTCTGGGTAGCTGGAACCTGCACTCAGAGCCAACGTCCAGTGATTCTGTGCTCTCTAGGCCACACTGTGAATGTAGTTCTAGAAGGATCTAGAAAGATCGACGTCCAGAATTCCATGATTCTATGCACTGATTCCAAAAGTGACCCTCGGGCATGCTGGGAAAGCAGGCGAGGAGCTTCTGAATGGTCCGGGTCCGTGTGTGTCCGTGTCCTCAGACCCGCGTCATTCCGAGCCGTGTGCAGGAGGATTCTCAGAATTCCCCTGGAAAAGGGAGCCTTGATTCCAAACAGACTTGCAAGCTGGGCGAATACACGGAGCTCCAGCTGCTGCAGGCCCTGACAGGCAGAACCAGCTGCTGAGAGGGGATTTCCAAGCGGGGTGGCCCGTGTGGAGGCGGGAAGCCCCGCCCCCAGCAGCCCATTCTCCCGTTCTCCCCTTTCTGCTGCTCTGCTGGTTTCCCACTCACTTTTCTCTTCCCCTGCTCACTTTTCTCTGTCCTCCCTCTTCTCCCCACGGAGCGGCTTGCTCTTCTGTTCTTCGCTGTGTTCATTGAGTAGCGTTTTATCTGAAGGGGCGGAGTTACCGCGTCATGTTCTCGCGGCTGGGAATGACAAACAGAAGCTGCCGCCGTTGTTGTTGCTTTCCTTGTGTGTGGGTTGTGGTCCACTTCGTAGCTGTGAGCGAGGGACTCGTGGCAGCAAACGGCCCCCCCCCCCCCCCGCCACCAGCAATGGCCCCTCTCGTCTCTTCGAGGATGGGGGAGGCAGGCCAAGGCCTCTGCTGCTCTTGCCCTCGCTGTCCCTCCCTCTGCAGTCAGTGCCGGGGCGAGGTGGCGGGGAGGCTGAGGAATGGCTGTGGAGTTCCAGACACACACATACACGTGTGCACGCACACGCACTAACAGCCTCACAGCTCTGGAAGGGAATTGGAGAGCTATGCTTTGGGCCCTGAACTTGGCACACATATACATGCATGCACACACGCGCGCGTGCGCACACACACATGCCTGGACAGACACGGAGAAGGAAGTACAGTCACAGAGATTGGCAGGACAGAGACCTAGCAAGGGAGACAGCGCCTACGCACGCTGGGACAGGAAACTTGGGGAGAGAAGGCAGAGAGAAAGTACCAGATATGGGGTGGTGGAGCCCCCAAGAGAGAGGGGCCGAGACACAGAGAAAGGGCAGCAGCCAGCAAGAGAGGGGAGTTAGAGACAGGAGAGAAGGAGGGGACCCCGGGAGGAGGGGCTGAATCTGGGGTGCTCTGGGCATCCCTGCCGTGGCACAGCCCAGGAGCTGATGGCAGATGGTTCCTGGTGCAGGGAGACCCCAGCGTTGTCCAGAGGTTGTCCCATGGCGTTTGAGAGGAGGCTGGGAGCTGCTGGGCCAGTTTGTCCAGCTGCAGGGCTTCTGCGGGGCCTGTGTGTGTGTGTGTGTGTGTGTGTGAGTGTGTACATGGACAGGGCTCTGTTGTCAGCAGACCCGCGTGGAGCTGAGCGCGCACCCCTCTGTACACAGGTGCACTCGTGCCTGCTGAGCGTGCGGGCAGGCAAGGACGGCTGGTTCCAGCTTTACAGCCCTGGAGGGGTGGCCTGTGATGACGACGGGGAGCTCTTCGCCAGCATGGTACGCCACGTGGGCCCTCCTCGGGAGCCTCCAATGACCCCCCGTTTGTTTCCCAGCGGGTAAAACAGCCACCCCGTCCACCATGGTGTGTCCAGCGGGTTGCAGGCCAGAAGAAGGGGAGGGTGATGGTGGCCACAGTTGTCACTTCAGGCTCTGAGCCAGGAGCTCAGCCTTCCCCACTCGCTCAGTCTCACACAGCTCTGGGAGGAGGGGACACTGGCTGTGGCTCCATTTTACAGATGAGAGAGCTGAAGACTGAGGGGCTCGCTAGAGTGAGCTGTGGCAGTGCTGACGTACAGGGCGTTGAGTGCCCAGTATTACTGCGCCAGGAACTCCAGCACACTGCACGTCCTCTGGCTCATGCATTCTCACAATGAGGTCGAGATCGGGGGTCCTCCCTGCCTACGGAGAAGCGCACCCCGTGACTGCCGGCGCTTCCTTACCCTGGCTGCTGTGTCAGTCATGTCACAGGCCCTTCCCCCTCGTCTTCCCCGCAGCCCCGATGCCACTGAGACCTGTGTTGAAACAGAGGCCCACAGAGGCTTGGTGGCCAGCCTGAGGTCACCCGGGCTTCTTCCCAAGCCGTTCCTGCCCGGGGGCTGCCTTCCTCCCGGAGCAGAGGGCCCCCGCTGCCTCTTGCCCCAGGGACGGGTGCTGTGCCCAAGCAGCCGGCGGCCGCAGTCACTGCAGTCCCCGTGTCACACGGCGAGGAAGCGTGGACGCCGGCCCAGCCTGGGCTCGGAGCTGAGCCCGCGTGTGAGCTGGCCATTGGCCTGGCCCGGTTCCTTGCCCCTCTGAGCTTCCTCCTCCTGTGCTGAGAACGGGGCCTGGTTCTGGCCTCTGGCGGTTTCCATGGCGATTGCCGGTGACGGTAGCTGCAAGGCGCCCCGGCGGCCGTGGCCGTTCTCATCGCGGTCAGGCAGCGGGGCAGCAGCTCACCTCCGAGAGCCTGGCAGGGCCAGTTGCGCAGTGATGACAAGGTGCGGCCTCTGAGCCCACTTGAAAGGGACTTATTTTTAGGCCCCCGTCCTTACGCATGCCCTCGCCACTCCCTGCCTGCTGCCACACGGCTCCCTTTGGAGTGCTCTGTGCACTCCAGAAACGTGCCCAGCCCTGCCTGGCCGTGCTGCCTCTCTTGCTTGTCATCACTTCTCGGGCTTCCTCTGACGTCACCACGTCACCATGGCAATGCTCACTGGCCCCTCCCAGTGGGAGGGAGAATCGGAGGAGCTGGCAGCCTCCCAGGCGGAGAGACCCCATTTGCACACCAGACTCCTTAGTGATGGAGCGAAGACAGACAGGTGGGGAAGGACGCAGGCAACCCCTGGGCTGCAAATGCCTCATTGCCATGGAGGCGGGGCTGGGCAGTGGTCCCTGGATTCAGCTGCCATCTCCAGCCTTGGAAGGGCCTTGATTGTTGTGTGTGGTCGGGAGGAGACAAAGGAGTTTTCGGGGCTCCCCAGCTCTGTCGCATGGGGACCCCTGCCCGTGGGTCCCCCCACACACACCAGGAAGAAAGGCTGCTGCACACAGCAGCCTGGGAGGAGCCATCGCCCGAAGTGTCACGCCCAGCTTCCAGGCGCCCGGGCAGGGCTGTGTCACATCCCTTACCCCACACCCTCGGGCGGCCTGGTCATTTCCACCTGGTTCCGGCCATGCCGTGCCCTCGGGGGAGCCGAGGAGGGGCGGGTCTCACAGTGGTGGTGAAGCAGCAGTTCCTGTTGGGCCTTTTTCAAGCGTGCATCTCCAGTGGGCATTAGGTACGTTCACACCGTGTGCCCGTCGCCATCCAGCCTAACTTAGATCCATGATGAAACACGAGTTCCCGTCCGCTGGCCCTGGGGCCCGGGCAGCCGCTGTCGTGCTGTCCAGGCGTGTCCCTGTCCCTGGCACCCCGCTTAAGAGGGGGAATGTGGTGTTTGTTCTTCCGTGAGCAGCTCGTGTCCACACTGGACAGTGCGTGGCGGAGGGTGTCTTGCATGGCAGGGCAGAGTGGGTGACCCCCGACCAGCTTGGGACGGGTCCCTCGGCGGCCTCCTGCACCCTCTGGGAGGCCGGCACCATGGCCCCGGGCATCCCAGCAGTCTCTCCCTTCACATGGGTCTCCTCACCCACAGGTGCACATCCTCATGGGCTCCTGTTACAAGACCAAAAAATTCCTGCTCTCCCTGGCTGAAAACAAGCTGGGCCCCTGCATGCTCCTGGCGCTGAGGGGGAACCAGACCATGGTGGAGGTAAGGAGCCCGTCCCAGTGCCTGGGTCCTGTCGAGCGAGCCCCTGCCGGGGGCCAGGGCTGCCCAGGGGCAGGAGGGCAGCGGGTGCAGCCCCATGACCCACTGTGTTAGCGGCGTGTGCAGCCATGCCTCGGGGCTCCAGCTCCACCTGCCAGTCTCACTTTGGGCCAGGCCACAGGGGAGAACGGGACATAGACGGGTCTCCCACCTTGGGGTCCTGGCAGGCCCAGTCCCAGTGTGCGTCTGCCACGGGCCTGCTCCACGCTGGCTGCACACGCTGGGGGTTCCCGTTGTGGAGATGGGAGGCTCACACAGCCGGGAGGGCAGAAAGAGGGAGCAGCGCGCTGATCGGGGGTGCACGGTGCGCTGCGCTTGTCACGTGACCTCGGTGCTGGGGGCCGGGGGGGGGGGTCCGTCGCACCGAGCCGAGGATTCGCCGCTGCCTGCGATCGAGCAGCGGCGTGGCCGAGGGTCGCAGGCCGGTGTAACCGTGTGGTTGTGGCAGATCCTGTGCTTGATGCTGGAGTACAACATCATTGACAACAACGACACGCAGCTGCAGATCATCTCAACCCTGGAGAGCACGGACGTGGGCAAGCGCATGTACGAGCAGCTGTGCGACCGGCAGCGGGAGCTGAAGGAGCTGGTGCGTCCGCGCCCGGGCCGCGCCGGGGCGGGGCGGGGAGGGCCGGGCCCAGGGACTGTCACTTGCACCGTGCAGGCCATCAGAGAGAGGCACTGACCCGGGGGCCTGGGTCCTGTCTCACTGCCTGTGTCCAGCCTCTCTCCCCTACGTCCCTTCGAGCACAGGGCCCCCCGCCTTGAGTGCCAGCACCTGCGCTTCTCTGCCAAAGGGCTTGCTCTGAGCGGCCGTGCACGGGGCCACGCCCAGCAGGACCGACGCACCCGTCACCCTCGCCCCTCGCTGGAACAGCCCAGCGCCCCGCTCGGGTGGGGTAACTCCGAGACTTCGCTGCCGGCAGCTCTACACCAGCTGCCCCGGGAGACGGCTGGCTTCCTGCTCAGGGCGTCCGCCGTGGCGCGGGTGATCGCCTCTCCGCTGCACCCCTGAGCTCACACCCCGTCTGAGGGTCTGCCCCGAGGCCAAGGCCACCTTGTTGCCACCAAGATAGTGGTCCCAGGAGTGGCGTGAGCGGGGAGCGCAGGGTGGGGATGGCAAACCGCCGCCTTGACCAGCCTGATCTCTGTTGCAGCAAAGGAAAGGTGGGCCCACCCGGCTAACACTGCCCTCCAAGTCCACAGTGAGTTGCTTTCGTTCTCCCTGGGGCCGGGTGGAGGGCGGTGGGTCTGTCCTCCCTGTGGGGGGTGGCAGCATTGTGACTGCTGCTAGGGGGGAGGGGAACTAGGACCCCAGCACTGACAGGCAGCTCCTCCAGGAGGTAGTGGGGTTTGGGGAGAGGTAAAAACCAAACAAAATTAAAGCATTATGTTGAAGATTGTGGATGAGACCAAGAGTCTCAGTTGCCAGTTGTTAGTGATGGTGGTGCTAGTGCCTGGTATGACAGGCGCGACACTACACTGTTCACTGTGCCTTCTCTACACCCCCGGGAGTGTGTGATCACCATTCCCATTTTACCAGGCCTTTTGGGTGTTACTTCCTTCTCTCCTGCTGCCACACTGTCACTGACCTCTGTCTTCCACCTCATGAACCAGTAACGCTGCTCGAGCGCCAGCCATCTTGTTTACATTCCAGCCAGCAGGGAGAAAGAAAAGGCAAAGAAGTACATGCCCCTTCCTTTAAGAACCTTACAAGGGCCAGTGCTGTGTCTCACTTGGTTAATCCTCCACCTGTGGCGCCAGCATCCCATATGGGCGATGGGTTCTAGTCCCGGTTGCTCCTCTTCCAGTCCAGCTCTCTGCTGTGGCCCAGGAGTGCAGTGGAGGATGGCCCAAGTGCTTGGGCCCTGCAGCCGCATGGGAGACCAGGAGGAAGCACCTGGCTCCTGGCTTCGAATTAGCACAGCTCTGGCCATAGCGGCCATTTGGAGAGTGAACCAATGGAAGGAAGACCTTTCTCTCTGTCTCTCTCTCTTTCACTGTCTAACTCTGCCTGTCAAAAAAAAGAAAAGAAAAAACTTTACTAGACATTCTCTAGGCATGTCTGCTTATATCTCATTGTACGGATGAACACGTGGCCCTACTTAGCTGCTAGGGAGCATGGGAAATGAGCCTTAATTCTGGGCAGCCAGGTGGCCACTGAAACTCTGGATGGAAAGGAGAACAGATACTGCCCTTGACCTCAGGCCTAGTGCTCAGGCGTGCGCTGACTACTCCGGCAGTGCTGAGGGTGGCCTCGGTGTTTCATGTGAGAAATGGGCACACGCTGCCACCTGGGAGAGCAAAGCAGTGGGTCAGGCACACAGGCTCGTGGGAGGACACCCGGCTCGGTGACTCAGGGCGTGAGTCACGGCCCTGGAGGCTTCCTCCCGCCGCCGGCCCCTGCGTCCACAGGCGTGGAGGCAACCAGCTGCCCTTCACGGTCACTGCTGGTCTCTGGAGGCCCGGGCTGGGAGGGCTGTGGCCCCCGCAGCCCCGGCACCGCCCCAGCGCCCTGCCCGCCCACCTGCAGGACGCTGACCTGGCGCGTCTCCTGAGCTCCGGCTCCTTCGGCAACCTGGAGAACCTCAGTCTGGCCTTCACCAACGTCACCAGTGCCTGCGCGGAGCACCTCATCAAACTGCCTTCTCTCAAGCAGCTCAACCTGTGGTCCACTCAGGTACCGCCGAGGCCGGCCCAGGGCCCCTCCTTGTTCCCGCACCCCTGCCCCAGGCCAAAGGACACTGAGGAGCTCAGGAAGCCCCCACGCCCATTTCACAGTTGGGAATGCTGAGGCCCAGGTGAGGACAGGCCCCGCCGTCCCATGGGGCTGAGCGGTGGAGCAGGTGCTGCTGCCTCGCCCACCCCGGCCTGGGAGTGTGGCCCGAGGGCCTTTCTGTCATCATGACGAGCACCCAAGAAATGCCCGGTGCCCCGAGCCCGGCCGGGGATCCACTGAGCTGCCCGGCTCTCTGCGGGGCCTCGCGTCTGCCACTGCCCCGCCCAGCAGCAGAACTGGGCCCGCCTTGCATGTCCAGCCCAGGTCAGGGAGGAAGAGAGCGGCTCAGATCCCAAGGCTTGAGGCCATGGGCCTCGGTGTGGGACTCTGGCCCCAGCCTCAGGGTCACTTCCCGGGGGGCCTGGCGAGGGCTGAGCGCACGTGTGTCCCGCAGTTTGGAGACGCCGGCCTGCGGCTCCTGTCGGAACACCTCACCATGCTCCAGGTGCTCAACCTGTGCGAGACCCCGGTCACCGACGCCGGCCTGCTGGCCCTCAGCTGTGAGTGCCCGGGGTGCTGCGGGGAGGGGTCCCTGTGCCGGGCACCATGGCCGGTGCTAGGGGTGGGGGCGGGGACTAGCCCTGCCTCCTGGAGCTTAGGAGTGACGGCTGAGGCGTGTCCGCGCCTTCCGCAGGCCCGCGGGTGCCTGTGTGGCGACCAGGCTCCCAGACAGCCATCCCCTGAGCAGCAGCTCCTGGCCAGGAACGCAAGTTCTCAGGCCCCGCCTGGGACTTCGTGGCTTGGAACCTGCCTTTGCCAGATGCCCAGGTCTTTGGTGCCCGATGCTGGGATAGGAGGAGCCCCGGGACACTCGGGGAGCCCAGAGATGCTGGTCTCGGAGGCACAGGGCCTGGAAATCTGCCCGTGGCCAGCTTCCAGTGGCCTCAGGCCCATTGGCTTAGCTCTCAGGACCCAAGGTGGTTCAGGTTCCAGGTGTGAAGGGAGCTGTGAGGTTGTCGGCAACTTCCTGGTGGCTTGGGAGGGGGGTGGGCGGCGGGGCTCGTGGGGCAGAGGGGAGGAAGCGTGGAGCAGCCCTCTCCCTGTAGCCTTGCTCCTTGGAGCTACCCAGAAGGGAGGGGGTGAATGCAGATCCCCTGGCCTTGCTGCAGCCCCTCATCGAGGTCCCCGGGCATGGGCGGGGGCGTTGATCGAGCTCCTGTGTGGCTTCCGTGCAGACGCACGCTTGAGGTCCTCCAGCTGCCAGGCAGGAGCCACAGCCACTGCGGGAGCTTCTAGCTGCCCTGGGGGACAGGCCAGGCCTGCGCTGTCTGAGCACCAGCGTGCTGTGCGGACACGGGGCCCAGGCGGGGCTGGGGCACCACGGAGGGAGGCTTGGAGGGCTGGGAGAGAACAGGAAGCCAGCGCCTACCAGCAAGTGTCTGAAGCCGGGCCACCCTGGCTGTGTGCGTTACCGCCCACCCCCGCCCCGTCTGTCACCTGGGCCCTCGAGCTTGGCCGTCCCCACCACCACTGTGTCCCTGCCTAACGGCCCTGCCTGTCTTTGCCCAGCCATGAAGAGTCTGTGCAGCTTAAACATGAACAGCACCAAGCTCTCGGCGGACACCTACGAGGACCTGAAGGTAAAGCCCCCCACCTCTCCAGAGCCCCCTGGGAGGCACTCTTGGCGCTGGGGAGGGAGCCCCGGACACAGAGCAGCGGGGTATCCACAGGGCCCAGACCCGGAGGGCCCGTGAGCCGGGACGCTCAGAGAGGGTTCCTTTGAAAACAGGCCGCGTCAGCTGAGACTCAGAGGATGTCACAGGGGTGCGAGGGTATAAGGCTCGCGGTGGCGCGCAAGCCCACCCTGCAGCAAGTGCAGCTCAGCATGGGGCGGGGGTCCCTGAAGGCCCGGGGTTGCGCCTGCTCAGCGCTGCGCCTTCTGTGTCTCTGAGCGGGCAGCCTTGAAGAGCCTGTTGGGCCCTGCATGGAAGATGGGTGTTTTGGGGCAGGGGGCAGGAGCGGCAACAGGGAGAGCCGTGGGAGGGCTGCTGCAGCTGCAGCTGCGGGCCTGGCTGGCGAGATGAAACCTGAGAGAGGAGGGTCCGGGTGATGGGCACGGGGCATTTGGTGTATGGGAAGGGGACGAGCCAGGCCGCCCTCCCGACCTGCACTGGCTGCTCCCGGAGAGCAGGCGAGCTGGCCAAGTCCGTGTCCGGGCAGGGCTGGGCCCAAGGCGAGAAGGCACAGATGGCGCCGTGAGCCACTCTGGCACCCCCGCGCCCTGGAAGCCGCTTAGAGGGAATCCTCCAGCAGCCCTTGGCGGGACCTGCTCTAGCAGGGGAATCTGGGAAACCCCGTTCCAGCTCCACCTGCTGCCTGGCCAGGCCCCCTGCAGCCGGCTCTGCCTGGGCTGTGGCCTCCAGAGCTCCTGGCGCACCTGCTGTGTGCCAGGCCCGTGCTGGAGGTGGGGACGTCACAGTGCAGCGGCCCCTTAGCCTGCCTAGGACGCAGGAGAGGGAATGGGACCAGTTAAAGAGAGACGGCCGTCTGTGAGACAAGGGCGAGGGAGCTTCGGGGAGCAGGGAGCCGCCCTGAGACGGCAGGAGGAAGCCCGCCCTGTCCCTGGCTCCGACCGTGGGGCAGCCCCTGTGGGGAGCATCCAGACCCGCCCAGGTGCCCTGTAGGTGGCCCCCTCTCCGTGCACTTGGCGGATGGCGCCATCCTGGGAGCCAGGGGCTGGACTCAGACCCGCTCGACACTGGGGAAACTGAGGCGTGGAGAAACCAGTGTCAGAGCTGGGTTCAAACCCTGGTCCTGGTTTTCTCCGGGGCCTGGGCGCACCCCGCCTGCTCTGAGCTGTGCTCTGAGCACCCAGCCCTCCCAGAGCCCCAGGGAGCCCAGGGCACCACCTGGTGGAGGTGGAGGCAGGGGCCTTTGGCCCAGGTCAGTGCAGCCTGCGTGACAAGGCCACCTCTTGCTGCCCACAGGCCAAGCTGCCCAACTTGAAGGAGGTGGACGTCCGCTACACGGAGGCCTGGTGACGCTCCCGGCGGCTGGAGGACCTCGCACTACGACAAACAGCTCTCAACTCGTAGCCGTAGCGTGGCCGGTCCTGGGCTCCCTCCCAGCGCCCCGGCTGCGAGCTAGATGGGGGAGTCTTTCTGGGGGCAGAGGGGGGTGGGGGTGGGGAGGGGGCCACAAGCACGCCCAGCCCCCGCCGAATTCTTTTAGCTTCATTCATCGGAACCTTTGACCTGATCTAAAGCGGACTTTGTAGCAACGAGAGGAGCATCAGCGGGTCGGGGAGGGGTGGGGGGCCCTTTGTGGATTTTCTTTGCCTTTGTGTTGAACGCCGTGCGGGGAAAGTCACCTCCGAAGCCACCGCCACGGGCCGGACCAGGGGTGCTTTCTTCCCAGAGGCTCCGAGCGGAGCGCCAGCTGCCGTGGGACGAGAAGACCCATCACGCCACTGCACCCGTCCTGTGTCCTCACCATTGCTATGCAAAGTGGTTCTTGTTGTACATAAGATTTAAATAATGCACCTATTTAAGACATGTTGACAAATTGCAGGTCTGGGACCTGCCTCTTATTTATGAAGTCTTTGGCCCCGCCCCGCCCCACCCCGTGTAGTACTGTACAAACCGTTCCGCTGTTGGGTTAGTGGTAGTGTTACTGTTATTTTTTTTTTAAAGGAAACAGACACACACAAAAAAAGAGGAAAAAATGGAGAAAAAAAAAGACCCTCCTTGGACAATTAATTGCTTTTTTGTAATGGATTCCGTGCGCTAATGCTCTCTCCTCCGTCTGTGCGTCTGTCCGCCCCCTCCATGCTTCTCTGATTTCCGGATGTGTGCGGCGTCCGCTGGTGTGGGGCAGGCTGGGCCCCCGGTGCAGGTCTGCTCCTCAAAGCTGGGTTCTGTGCCTCAGCCCCTTTTACAGGTTTGGAGGTGGGGTGCTAACCCGTCCTCCACGGTCCCCACCCCCAGAGAGCACCCATCTCTTTTGGCCTTGGCCGTGCCCTGTCCCTGACCAAGACCCCCGCCATCGTGTGCGCCCCGTGGCCCCCTCATGCATGCCCGCCTCTCTGCATGGTCTCTTGGGAGAAGAGAGATAACGTCCCCCTCGCCAGCCTGACTTCCCAGCCCCCCCATAAATGTGACCACTGCTGCGAAGACGCTCCTGTCCCCGCGCCCGCTCCAAGACAAGCCAACCTCCATTTCTTTTATAAACAGTCGGCTTTTTCTTAATGAACCCTCACTGTACAGAACAGCCCCTCGATGGTTTCTTTGGGGTCCCCCTCCCCGCCCCAGCCCCTTTTTTCTGTTGGTTTAGCACAAATACGTACCCCCACTCCACCCCCCGCACCTCCAGACTTCACCCACAGTCGATGTAATTGTTTTATAACTGTTTAATCCTATTCGATGGAAACCATGCTTCTGTCGTTTTATACTTTGCTAGGTAGACTTTATTATCCCCCTACTATGCCCTCATTTTTTTAAAAAAGGAAAAAAAAGAGAAATCGGGCTTCAGTCTTAATTCATTTTCCGTGCCAGAAAAGACGTATTTTATTTCGTGCGTGTGTGAGTGTGTTCTGTTCCGTGTTCTGTTCCACGTTGTTGTCGTTTTCCGTTGTTTGGTTTAATTTTCTTCCCCTCCAATCCCATATTTTACAGCACTCTGGTGCAGGAAGAAGCAGAAGCAAAAAAAAAATAAAAAATAAAAAAACCAACAAAAAACAAAACAAAAAAAAACAAAAAAAAAAACTTTAAAAAAGAAAAAAAAAAGAAGAAACGAGACATGCCACCTTCCCCCCGCACTGTTGCTTTTCCTGGTGGTTAATACTACTGTCGCGTAGCTGTGTACAAAGAGATGTGAAATACTTTCAGGCAAAAATAAACTGTAAGTGACTCATCATCGTCTGCCTCTCTGTGTGGCTTGGGGGGCCCGGGGGGTGGGCCCAGGCCGGGCCTGGACAGCCCCTCCCGAGCCCACGCTGTGCTCCTCCAGTGCAGGCCTTGTGTCTCCCCCTGACTCACACACCGTTGACCACTGGACTGTGGGTTCAGAGCGTGAACTGGGGGCTTCGTCCAACGGTCTGGGGCGGTCCGCAGTCAGGGCAGGCCACGCTCCCAGGGAGTACTTCCTGCCTCTGCCGTCTCCTCGTCTCCTCGTGGCCCCGTGTTGGCTGCTGCACCGTCCCGCTCTGCTCTGGCTTCCGGCCCCTCCCCTGTCCTCTCCCCATTGGATCAGGGCCCACGCGGGTGATCTCATCCCAGAACCTTCACCACATCGGCAAGGCCTTTCTGCACATGAGGTCCCACTCATGGTGTATTCTGGGGCTCCCAGGGCCCCCTCGCTATGGGGGGGGGGGGTTGCAGGTGAGACAAGCCCGTGTCATCAGTCGTATCTGCACGCCGGGTTTATCCAGGACCAGGAACGGTGGTAAAAAGGTCACAGTTACCTCACTCATTTTTAAACAAAGCAGGTGTAGCCCCTACTGCTGCTGAACTCATGACCTGAACGCCTGCCCTCTTAGAGAGCCTGCAGCTGTCACCAGGGCCCCTGCTGACTGCTGGGAAAGGAGGTGGGGGAGGCTGGGCCCCGTGGTGAGCAGGGCACAGGGCCCAGGCTGTACCCCTGGCCCCTTGAGGAGCTGTCTAGGCCCCAGGCTATATTTCCTGGCCCCATGGAGAGCTGTGCAGGGCCCAGGCTGTACCCCCGGCCCCAGGGGGACCTGTGCAGGGCCAAGGCTGTACCCCCGGCCCTGTGGAGAGCTGTGCAGGGCCCAGGCTGTATCCCTGGCCCTGTGGGGAGCAGGGGACAGGGCCCAGGCTGTATCCCCGGCCCTGGGGGGACCTGCGCAAGGCCCAGTGCACTGCCGGCTGGCGAACAGGGCGACATGACGTGAAATCGTGGAATGTGGCAGCCATGGCTGTGTAGGAGGGTAAGTGGGGAGTCGAGGGGGCCTGCTGTTTTCCCAGCTCGTTCCCGGAGGCAGGCTGTGGGGCCCAGGTTGAGCACTTGTGCTGCAGCAGCCCAGCCGAGGCCAGAGACGGGGGAGCACCCATCGGGGGATGACTCCTGTGTCCCTCTTCATCCCTGTTGGCACGGATCTCTAGTCACCCTCGGTGCTCCATGAGCACCTCCTTCCCTTCTCTGCCCCTCCGCCCTTTTCCCATTGCCCCATGATGTGTCCTGAGACCACGCCCCAGTCAGCCACCCATGCTCAAGTTTTTATCTCAGTATCGGCTTCTGGGGAAGCCCAAACTAAGACACTGAACATGTCAGGGGGCAGGCAGCAGTGTGAATGGGAGACTGTTCCAAGAAAAACCGGCAAAGGCACGGCACGGCCATCTGGTATACCTGCCTGGACAGACAGACACACACACCCAGTGGCTGGGAGAGCTGTGCTGCCTGGACCTTGCGAGTCAGCAGGCACGGGTGTTCAGAGCCGGAGCTGGAAGCTGGTGGCAGCATAAATTGGTTGAACCCCTTGGGAAAGCGCATCTCACAACTCCAAACATCCGACCCTATGACCCGGCCACTCCTCTCCTGGGTGTGCGCCCAAGAACTGAGCCCCTGTGTCCGCCAAAAGACACAAACAGGGACGCTGACAGCAGCGTTGTTTATAATGGCCGAGAAGTGGAAGCGACCCACATGTCCATGCACAGCAAATAAACAAACCGTGGGCGGCTCGTTCGGCGGAACCACACACGCGTCGGTCCACAGAAGGGATAAATATTGACGATTCGTATGACGGAGTTCTCCAGAACGGAGAAGAGCCAGCAGCTGCCCTCACACACGATGTCAGGCATGAGTGGGACGGCTACTGTGTTTATGGAAGGCGCCAGACTCAAATGAGGAAGTACTTGTGGGGCTGCGTCTGTTGAAGTTCACCAGCGGGCACATGTCATCCGTGGTCGCTAAGGTCACGGCAGCGCTTACTGTTGGTGGGGAAGGCAGGAAGGACTTGCCAAGGCGAAGGCAGTGCCGGCCGTCTCGATCTGTGTTCACACGGGCATTCCCACATCCATGGGGCTTCGTGACTGGCTAACACTTCGACTCTAAAATCGGAAACAGCCCAAACATCCATCACCCACTGAGTAGGTGCATAAGTGCACGGCGGAGAGGCATTGGAATAGTACTTGGCTAGGAACAGGAAGGAAGTATTGGTCCATTCTGCATCACGCACGAACCTCGACAACATCCTGCCACGGGCTGACCTGTGACACAGCGGGTTAAGCCATGCCTGTGATCCCGGCACCCCATACAGGCACTAGTTAAAGTCCCGGCTGCTCCACATCGGATCCAGCTCCTTGCTCATGTGCCTGGGAGGCAGCAGGTGATGGCCCGAGTGCCTGGGTCCCTGCCACCCACATGGGAGACCTGGATGGTGTTCCAGGCTCCTGGCTTTGGTCTGGCCAAACCCTGGCTCTTGCAGCCATTTGGGGAGTAAACCAGTGTATCAAGATGGCTCTCTCTTTCTCTCTCTCTCTCTCCCTCCCTCCATCTTTCAAAAGCATAAATTTTTTTTTTTTTTACAAACACAAGAAAACATCATGCTGGGTGAAAGAAGCTACAAACAAAAGACCATCTACTGCAGATCCCAGGTGTGTGCACTATGCAGAATGGGCTTATCCAAAATGCTGCAGCAGGTACCCATTTGCAGGAGCTGCCTGGCGGGGGAGTGTAGGGCACTCCCTAGTGGGGAGGGGCTTTATTGGGGTGATGAGATGGTTTGGAACCAGATGAATATTCAGCCACTGAGATGCACACGTTACAATGGTCTGTGTTACATGAATTTCACCTCAACTAAAAAGACGTGACAGAGAGAGAGAGAGAGAGAGTTCAATGCCAAGATGGCTGCCGCTTCTCTCCGCTGTGTCTGGATCTGGGAGTGAGATATCACCATGACCTATCAGAGAAGACTTGTCCATCCTTAAGAAGCTTCTTGACGAACGTGTCCCTTCCTTGAAACACTCTACTGCCCTCTGCTGGAACTTGCCGCGATAACTCTAAAACCGATCCTGTGAATGGAGTCAGATGCGGCTCCCTCGAGCAGTGCGCACGTGGTGGGATATGTGCCTGTATGTTTCAGTGAACTCTGTCCACGTTTGGCTAAAGCCCCAAAGCCCGGTGGCTGTCCTTTCTGCTCCCCTCTAGTGCTGCTGGAATTAACCAGAAAAGGGCCATGACTGAGTCAGGTGCTGCTACTGCAGGTATAATCCCCAAGGCCATGAGCACTGGCGCCATGGGAGAGTCTGTAGCACTGCCGAGTCTCAGCGCCCCCCACCCCACCCCAGGCGTAGCAAATCAGACTGCGTGTTCCATCAGGTTCCCAGGTGGTGCGCCTACACACTGAAGTGGAGAGGCACCGCCCTCTAGCCTTTCACTGCCCAGTGCAAACACCTGGAGAGCTTCTGCCCCTTGCTAGTGGCTGAGCTCCGTCCAGGAGCTCCTGGCTGAGTGGTCTGGGGTGCGGCCTGGCCGTGTGACTTTCGTCAGCTCCTGGAAGACTCTGATACCAGCCTGGGCTGACCACTCCGGTCAGGAAGCCTTGCTCGGAGTAGGCAGCCTGGGCGGCGGCAGCTCCGCCTCACCCCAAGAGCTCCCTAGAAATGCTGTGTCTCAAGGCTGGCCCCAGAAGCCCCAAGCGCTCTTAGGCCAACAAGAGCCTCAGGTGATTCCCGTCTACCTCTAACCTGAAGAAGCCCTGGGCTCAGAGCTGGCTGCATAAACCACAAGGCCCAGTGTACAACGAAAATGCAGCTTCCCTGTGCAAAAGCCATCAAGGCTTTGAAGGCAGCCGCAGTAGAGCATAAACTAGGCAGAGACTCACCCAGGCAGGACCATGTGGGACCACCGGCTTGGGCTCACAGCCCTCGGAGTTGCTAGGAAGATGCCCGGCCAGAGATGGACACCTGCTCCTCACCGCCATCTGTGGGATCAAGCCTGGCCCAGAGCACCGGGAGTGATCTCCGCGGACCCCAAACAAGGACAGGGTGGGAGCGACTGTTCCCAGCTCCCGGCCACAGACCCCCTGGCTGCTGGTCTCTCCTCTGAAGGTGACGGTAAGAACAACGGATTGCCCCCCAGAAACCAGCTCACAGCTCCCCTCTGATCTGCCAGGGGAGGAGGGGCTGCAGGACCCAGTGGGAAGCAAGTTCGGGCAATGAGGTACTGGAATCTCAGTCGCTTCCTGGAGACAGGATTGTCCAGGGTGCCTGCTGTCTGTCCCCCTCCCACACTGGCTTTGGGGGTCTGCTGGGCAGAGGCGGCGGTGGCGGGGGGGGCAGGGGGGTGTGATGATTTCCTTGCATGTATTTGTAATCAGCAGTAGGGCAAACCCCACCCCCCTGCCTGAGTTCCAGCACTGCCCATCACAGATGTGACGCTGGGGCACCGTCTCCCCTGTGGGGCGGCTGCCTTAGATTCACCCTGTGCCCGAGAAGACAAGCCACACACATCATAAGAAACCTTCCAGTAACCACACCTTAGGAAGGAGAAACCAACAGGTAGGATCATGTATTTGCATCAGCCTCAGAGACCCAGAAGGTCAGTATTTCAACATGTCATGGATATAAGAGGCTGACAGGAGCTGGTGTACGTCCCCCCCACCCGCCGTGCTAAGCCCTGGAAGTCGGGGGTGTGTTTGGCAGCTAGTGTGTAGCTCAGTGCAGAGTGCAAGTGCTCCCTGTGGCCACCCGTGGCCAGTGGCTGCCATGTGGGCAGCGTGGCTCCAGGATTTCTGCAGAGGAGCCAGGCAGAACCTGGTGGTAGGGAGTGGAGAGTGGCCAAGGGCCAGGCGGGACACAGCACTCGCACCCTGGCAGAAGTGTCTTGACTGAGCCTGTGTGGCTCTGAAGCAGCTGGGGGCGCTGGCCTGGAAACCCCATGAAGAAAAGGCCCAGGGC